TAATTCAACAAGTTTTCATGCGTTGAATGATTTAATATGTACATTGAACTAGTCAGTCGGTTGAACTGCTTTTTTATAAAATTTCTAACGTTTAAAAGTAGTATTTTCTTGTTATTTTCCGTTAACCGTAACTTTAATTGTTATTATAGCCTTATAAATAGATGAACCTCTACTAAGACCTCTAAAAGATATGTCATGTTAAGTAAATTAGATCAAATCAAAACTCGTTTTTGACAAATTGACAAAGATATTTTACTAATACTTGGATTGGATTGGACAAACAGTATTTTGGATGATGCTCTATGTTTCTCTGACAACGTGAACAGCCACGATGATCAGTTGGGTAGTTAATATCAAAAATATAAATACATACACACTTTCCCATTTATAATATTAGTTAGGATAAGCCGTGACGTCAAACCATATTGTTATCAAATCATTCGTTTTTAGCTTTGACCTTGTTTGAAAAAACAATCTAAATGATAACGTACAGTCAGACCCTAATATATGTACGTATATTTACATTTATACCGGTCCATTTATGTGTGCAAACAAACCAACAAAAGTATTTAACAATAATATTACTAACAATATTGACATTGCTGACGATAAAAGTCGTGGTTTACATCTGGAGCTTCTGAAGTTGCGAACTAAACAGACGAATTTTTATTGCCAATTTGCTTACAATGAGTATTTTGGTATTATTGACTGTCATTACTGATTGTGAGTATTTTGTAATAATACTACAGTTTTAAATTTCCATTATTCTTAATATTTTCAATAAAAAAAAAATTGCATGACCGTTTACTCTCAAGGCGAGTTATAGGAAATGAATAATGCCGTGCCTTATCACTCATAAATAACATATTGATTTATAATATATAACTAAAGCTGTATTAGAAATTTAAAATTCCTAATTCATACGGTAATTTACATTTTTACAGCACATTCCTTTTATTGGTAGTAATATAGCTTGGTCTGTTGTTTACATTTATAAGCCAGTGACATACATTACTAAGATTATGAATGAAATATTACGCAAGTTATCGTTTTAATAGATTTGCCCTTGAGACATTTGGCCTTATGGAATCTGCACCATCGCAAACAAAATATTGTTTATTGTTCCATTCGTTTAAAATACTCGTAAACATATTCAGGGCTTTGTGTTGAGTAGTCTTATGTGACGTTCAGAAATTACTACATAGGTAAATCTAATCAAGGGCTGCCAATATTTCAATAAATCACGATAATAAGACTGACCTTTAGACTGTCCTTGAGCATGAGATATATTTTTCAACAGAGTTCTGATGGCTCTAGGTTTATTATATTTTCTCATTGCGTATTGTATAGTACATATTTAAATGTACGTTTTACCTAGACGGATAGTCCAGCTCTGAGATTTTTTAAATTTACTGTATGTTAAGTGCAAGATAAATGTGCAAAATAAAAACATATCAATTGCTAAGATGTACATAATTTTTGGGTTACTTTCTTACAAATGTTGTATTCTTCACCGCTGCAGAGAGAAGAGTAAGCATTGTCTCTGTCAACATAACATAGTAATAATACAATAAGAATATCCAATGCTCCGGTTTTTGTTTTCACTAAATTCACACTAAAATATTCAAATCGAAAGATAATAGGTTCGGAGGATAGGTTCGGCTTAGTAGATCAATAGTACCATTTTAAAATAGTGAGTAAGACTATTATTATGCCAAAGACCCAGCTTCGATTGGTAGCTAATTAGTAGTAAAGGAAATCCTGGAAAAGCTAAAATAGAAGGTGCATTACTAATTTTAGAAGAGATCGATAAGTCAATTCGGAACATGTGTTTAACAAAACTGTAACTACAAACAATCTTCTTAGAAACGATGCCATTAACCTCGCGTAACGTCTAACACGCGAAGGTTGTTAAAACTGAAGCGAATACAGGCCTTGCAGATTTGCAATCTATTTTTGTCTTCGTTTAAACATATTCAGGTATATACTGTGTGTGTCTCGAAAGAGATGCACTGATTGGCTAACTGCCATTCCACATATAACTGCTAGCCTTTTAGTCTTAACAGATCTATTATATATTAACAATATATGTCATAAATAATAGCTACGTGTCCCCACAACTCACCTGACATTGGAGAAAAGAATAAAATAAATAAAACGGTATGAGTTCTTTAACAACTGTAGGGTTTCATAGAAGGTAAAGCACCGCCGATTATTAGAGAAATTGGCTTTGTTATTGTAGGCTTTCTATTCTAACAGAACATTGAAGTCGCTGACGAATTTATACAAGAGGAGTGTACCAATGACTTTAATAAGATTCAAATACGAATCTGGAATACAGTAAATTTTATGTGATTTGCTAGTTTGACCAATTTTTATATTAATTTCTCCATTAATCACGAAATAGTCAGTAAGAAAACTTATGAAATAAAAAAAATAAAAAAATATATAATCGTAATAAATACTACGGACAGTGCTCATTGCATATTGCATAGATAACATTAAAACAAGCAGTCGACTTTTATTTCAAAAACGTGTTTGGTATAACTGGTTTGTAATTTACTATAGTACAAATTGTGTACCTCCCTAAATATTTTTTTCAAGGAAGCACGAAAATTAGGGTTTAACTATACTTAGACAAAAATCTTTTATGATGTCTAAAAATTATTATTTTCGTCAGTAAAGGTTGGTTCAAGTGATAAATACAAATCACTTATGCAATATTACCTAAAAAAGTGATTACATTTTCTTTGTATCTGTTAATAATTATTGTTGTTGAAAATTATTAAAAACAGACGTTTTCCAATAACTATTGACAACGGCTTTGTCCATTTTGGGATCAGACGGGATGTAAAGTGTCTTGTGTCAAGTAATAAAATTACATCCGTAAAATGAAGTTTTTAATCTAAGCGATAAATTTACGATACTTACCAGCTTCTTTAATATCGACCAACATTTTTCTGTATCTCGGCAGTTCTTTTTTAATGTATTTTTATTGTCATATTTTTTCGTTCCTCTGTATTTATTAATTCCACAGCATACTTTTCTTAAAAGATTTAAAACAAAGTTGAAACTACTACCTACTTAAACAAGACGTGCATTGTTATTGTCAAATATAACATGAAAAATAAAATACTATTAAAAAATGGTAACTTTAATTTTTGGAAATCGCTAAATAGTAGATGAGTAGAGTGATTCATGTGGGCTTTATGTAACGAAGAAAAATTTTCACAAAAAGTTATAGGTTCCACCGAGATTTGAACTCGGATCGCTGGATTCAAAGTCCAGAGTGCTAACCATTACACCATGGAACCGGACAGTAAGCGACTCGAAATTTTGTGTTACTTTCAAAACACTTCTTGTATATAGAAAAGGGTACTTTGCTTTTACCGATATTTTTGACAAGAATTTATATAGTGGATATCAGAGCCACTAGACTAAACTTTTTTTCTGAAAAACAATATGGTAGTTCTTGGTCTGGTGGGTCCCTAGGATTTTGAGTCTATTGGACATAAGCTTCACTTATAACTATGTAAACATTTTTTTTAACCTACTTAAATTATTTGGAGTCATATATGATTCGTTTGATCAAGCTTAGTAACAGTGGTCTGATGAAGAGCCCTAGAGGTAGATTATATTAGATAATATGTATTGTTATCGTTAATAGGGTATAGGTAATCAGTTGTGACGTTTGCTTTATAATTCTTTACAACTAAAGCGCGAATTATGTTTTTTTTTTATACATTTAATTCCTCTTTATATTATAAACAAAATATTTGTCCATGACAATGACAAACAAGGATAAAGAGATTACAAAACATTTATTACGCATTGATATAGAAAAACACACAGATAGTCATCAGTATCATTCGATTGTCTTTTTTTAGCCGATTTCAATATATTTTTTGTACGGTTCACGATATCTTCGCCATTCTGTTTTCATTTTTTTCATTATGATTTAAATGCTCATAATGTACCTACGTACTCGGAAGTTATTCACATATAAATTTGAAGACAATATTCTACATCTAACAGTGGAAAATTACGAGTATTTCCTTTAATTCTTTTCACAGAATATAATTTATAATAATTAAAGCGCATTAAGTCATTACCGTTAGGTATGTATACATATAATTACCAAAACTAGAGAGATATGGTTTGAAATAAATTTATTATTATAAATAAACATAATTTAGGTATTATACCTGCAATATTTTTATTATTTGATTAACTCATACTGTATGGGACGATGTAGTCGCCCAGCGACAAAGGCCTTTTAATAAATAATAAAAAAAACTCATACTGGTATTTTTATCTCTTCTCTTTACTATAAGAGAAAGAGCGTATAATAAAATAAAACTCGATGTATTTGGTGGCTTAATATACATTTATATGTCATTACAATAATACTTAAATTACTGTTTTATTTACATACATTTATTGATATTATTTATAAAATATATAACTATAAATTACAATAATTTTATTATTTTATTGTATTATTTAATTATATAACTAAATAAATTACATTAATATCGTGATGGAATACTGCAGCAATCACATGGTTGTAAGAACTCAATTTTATCAAAATCTAGTCCCAATATTTTCATTAAATGAAATCACGAAATGCAAGAAAGGTAATAAAATATACTTAAGAGGGAAATGGGATATCATTTACTCAACCTATTATCTAATATTTTAAACGGAATAGGAACCAGAGAGACTGCTATATAGGTAAAATATAGATAAATTAGGCAAATTGTCGTAATCAAATGCGCGTTACCACGGGGTAACGCGCGTTTTAACATTAGAATGTTAAACATCTATCGGTTATGATCATTTACCATGGCAAAACATCTTGTTTACTATTTTAATGATAAAAAATCATTCCCAAAAGGGAAGATAATTTTTTGAAGGCTAAATTTATTTATTATTTCATAAAAATATTGACGCATGTTTAAAACAGAAATATTTACCTTGGAATTTTTATTATTTTACAGTTGCCAGTCACGATTAAATCTAAGGCGCTTCGTTGGAAGAAGGTAGACCCTTCGGATCATTTATACATCCCAGAAAACAAGGATATGGCATGTCGGGCTTAAACGATGTTTATCTTAAAGCACACTTGAAGTCAGCGGTTGCTAAGGAACAGAAGAACAATAAAATTGTCTTGATATCGGAATTAAGACCCGAGCTGGTGTTGGATTGGGTAGGAAAATGGATTGTGCTGATACAAAATTAAATGCTCCTTTTATCGCTTTCAGACCTCTATGTCTATCTGTCTAAATGTGTAATGTCTCACTTTTAACAAAATAATCATTTGTAATTGGAGCTGGAAATTCCATCACCACACTTAAATGCTGTGAATGTAGAAATATACATTTAGAGTTATTATTAGAAACTGTTACTACTTGTAGGATTATATTATAAAAAGTATTTGTATTTTCGAATTGGCTTTAATATGTATGTGTATGGACGTTTCGAGTCTAGACACCCCAGCAAAAGCTGATTAGACTACTGTGAGCAAAATACTTAATTATTATTAATGTACTTAATTTTCACTTGTGATGATTTTTAGATAAGTACCAATTTAAAAAACACCGTTCTGTTTAGTTTTAAGGTAAACGACATTATCAATTAGTTTTTAATATTATGGACACCTAATTACTCTTCTACACATTGGCTTATAACCCGAAAAGAAGTAGGATACTAAAATATTGCTTACAAAATTGTTACAAATCAATACAACTGAAATTGATTTTTATCATCCACATACTAAAGTGTTTGTGTTAAATATTTTTAGTACAGGTGATATTATGGTACCTACTTGACTTCTTGATGTAGGTCACTTCAGATTAATATAATTGTTCTATAGCCAGCTATTTCTGATCATTTGTTTTACAGATATAATTCTTAAATTGTAAACTGCCTTCAACTAATTTAAAAAAATATTTAACATCTCAGAAATTTGACCATCTCTTGCGACGGGTCAAAGTGTAGAAGTACATTGACTTAAGGTTTTCTTTGTAGTTATTTATAGACCTATTACTATAGCTGTAATTGTTTGCACATCATAAAGCTAAGTTGTAAATCTTGGTGAAAGCAAGAAATGTATTTTTAGCTATGCATAGCAGTGCATAGGCTAAAAATACATTTCATGTTAAGTGTACTTAGTGGCCTGTAGCTAAATATGGCCTAGAAAAATCGATGAAGAACAAAATAATACTAATTTAATACTGTTATGTATAAACACCTGCACTTTAATCTGGTATTAATATTATAACATTCCAAAATTTATGTACTACAAATGTATCAGTGCGAAATACACAGCCTGTGATTTTTTTTACCATGAGTATTGTTTTAAGAATTTTTTTTAAGATTGTGAGTCCCATGTGTTTTTTTTTTGTTAAATGACTAATTTACAACTAATATTAAATGATGAATATTTAAAGTCAGTTAATAAATGTATCTTAGTGAAATTATATTTTATTTGAATACACTTGGGCATTTGAATTATTAACACCCACTTGATTACTGGACTACGTCTGAAGGGATTTGGTAAGATTATAGAACAAACTTAATATAGGAAAAAGTGCTGTTAAATATATCGACGTTTGTTGATGATCCCACTATGGGGGTAGGGTAGTAATTGAGAAATAAACATTTTAAAATTACAAATCGTTATTTTACCGCCTATAGACGATACGTGCCGACTAAAGCTATGAGTTATCATGGGTTGCTATTAGAGACTCAGGTACCTAAAAGCAAATACTAAAGAGTGCAGACAGACGTTAGCCGACACCTATTTCAAAGGCAAAGGATTCGTTAACTTGCTGAGATTTTGTTCTTCCTGAAAGGTGTTTTATTCGATGGAAGTCCTAATTTATCTCTATCTAGATCTTTCTATTCTATTGTTAAATATAATAGAAGTGACCTTAAAAATAAGTTAATTTTAAATAAAACAATATACCACTGCAAATACTAATATTTTTAATTGCTTAAGTTTCACTTAATACAAAAACACAGTGATAATAAATTACAATCGAGACTAAACTTCGTCTTACAACTTTCGGCGTCAGTCATTAAACTAACAATTGTCGTGTCGCCGTAACTTCTACTTAGGAAGGTTTATCCCTTATTGAACGTTATTTTTTCTCGTAATTTCACTGATATAACGAAATACAAAGATCGCCTTAGACAGTGTCATGTAACTTTAATTTTTTAAACCTACGCTCAATTTTCACAAAATAAATTTATACATATTCTTTATAGGCCTCTCCCATTGCACGCTATTTGATCGATTTTCGGCTTCTCGCATCCAACTCCTGCCAGCCATCTTGCGCAAATCATCACTCCACCTGGCCTGTGGGTGTACACTACATTTCAATGGGAGAGGCCTATGTCCAGCAGTAGACTGCGATAGGCTGATGATGATATTCCTTGTAATAATATATTATTTTTGAGACTACTGCGTTCCGTAAAGTTGAACGTATAAATGCAAGTATGATCTCCCACTCTATGAAATGTACTAAAAATATTTTTGTGTGCAATAAAGTAATGCTGTAAACGGGATAAAACTCCTAAACTATGATTGTTTTCAAAAAATGGTTTAACTTAGCCTATACTTAACGCGGGCATTCCATCCATAATGGCCTAGAGTTTCGTAAATCAAGTCTGCACTGCCCTTAAAGTGACTGTTAACATTTTAATAGTAATAAGTTATTCACTACCCTGGCTATTTATTTATTTTATTTCGACGTTATATAAAAAGTCGTGGTATGTCTAAGAATTCAAAATACAAGGAAATAGTTAATCTATACATATCTTCTTTTTAACAGCCCATTTTAAAAATTAACTTTTTTTAAATTGGCAAGTTTTTTCCATGTCAACTGACAAAAAGAAAATATACACATATTTGTATAAAATTAGCCATAACGGGGAGACTTAAGGTCATAGCTCATTAGACCCACTCGACACCCGACTCGCATCACCTCGTCGCTCGGTATCCACTCGTGGTCGACAGGTTGTTGTTGAGGTCGAGTGGTCCACCGGTGGACGCCTTGTTGTTACTGGTGAACTTCGCGTTTGTCAACGGCTGGACATTGCGTTATCGGATGAATATTCGTGTTTTCTCTTGCTCGAGACGAGGCAGTTGGGTCGGGTGTTGGGCTCTAATGAGAGTATCATTCAAATTCATTGCAGACTTAAGAAAGTTTTGAGACTGCGATTTATGTTGAGATAAATTACTTTTTATAAATTATTATCTATTTTTAACAGTATTTTAAAAACGTCAGTCTTAAATGTTCGTTACTCTGGCAAAGATAATTTTTACAAAACTAATATTCATGAAAGGGTTCTTAATTTAGCAAGTTTCAATGATAGGAAAGACAATGACGACTTAAGATAATACAATATTGTTAATATGACTGACAAAACTGACTGATGAGTGAACTGACTAACCTAACCTAATATTTTTTTATAGTTTTTCGGATGAGTGCCATGCGTTGCCTGTGTGCTTCAGTGACAGCTGCGCGTTTATATGGTCGGAGTTCATCATTACCAAATCCTGGGATCCACATATTCCATTGGCGTTCTGAAAAAAAAAGCAGCCTCGTTACAGACAGATCTAGAAAGAAAATGTATCTTAGCACAATTTTAACTGCTTGTTATTCGCACAGAGTTATTGAAGATTTATAGTCATTCTTACACCAGTACTAGTATTGTATTACAAGCATCATGCATTTCTCTATTAGTGACCTAGCTGCACAAGCATTTGAAAATATTACAAACAAACAAAAGTGAAGCCCCTCTCAACAACCCTCATAAGTGGATTTATTATATTTCCAACTTCTCCAATTTGCTTCTGATTAATTTCATTGCAGGTTCCGAGACAGTTTAACTTTTCCTGAGACTTCCCGAGTGTGGGAGGATTATTTAGTCCCGTAAAAGAAACAACAGCCCCTCTTAACAGTGAGAATACTAGTTACTTTCATGCTTTTCCAATGGCACTCAGGAGATTTTTATGCTACTTTAGCTGTAAGAAAATGCCTAAATAGACATTGAAATTAAATTTCGCTTCTACTGCATTCTGAAGATTTTATTTTTTTATTTATGATATAGGGGCAAAGGAGTTTACCATACGTAAACACAAATTATGTTTTAAATTTAAACTTCTATCAATGCAATAACTTCATCAACAACCTTTAATATTCCACTGCTGGACATAAGCCTCTCATTTGAAAGGAGGTTTTGGCCTACTAAACTAATAACTTACCTAAGTGTAATTGTACATCTCTTAATTCAACATTAGGAGCATGTCTGTGTTTAGCAACTGAACATGAGGCACTCAGTGCTGTGTCTATAAAGTCATCAGCCAATTGCAATAGCATTTCTTCCACCTCTTCATCTAGCTGCACAGTCGGGTCAACTTCACGAACCAGTTCTTGCAAACGTGGTCGGCTGAGCAGCTAACATTGAGAAAAACCAATTATTAAATGATCATGATTTAGTAATACAAACATGGTAAGATTAGTAGACATTAGCCTGAGTGGAGTCCCAACAGTGCGAATTAATATCTAGTAAATTAAATTTGTTAAACAGAGGGCAGTCCACACACCAGATGGATCAACATCACCTACAAGATAGATTGAATGAGGAAGAAGAGGGACTAGGTGCAGTGGGACACATTAAGAGAGAGATGTCTGAATATTGAAAATATTTTTAAAACACCTGTGTTTTTATTACTGACGGAAGGTCATGAGTCTCATCTAGTTATTGTAGCTCTTAAATATAATTATTTTGTCACCTGTGAAGTCTGATCTCCTGCACCGCTTTGGTTTGCTTTAGCGCCTACTTGCGACTGAGTACCCATAGGACTATGCTGTGTAGGCGACCCTTGAATCGCGGTAGGCTGCAATTGAGGGCTCTGCAGCGGATTGTTTGTGTATTGAATGGTTCCCTGGTTCAGATTGCCTATGGTGGGCATGTTTGGAGCTTGACCCATAGAATTATTGGACATAATTGTTTTTTTCAGATCGTATTACCGTACAAAAAGAATGAGTTTCGTAAGTTTATCTCTTCTGTTTCTGTTGTTCAAAAACTGTCAACTAATAAGTCTAATAACGTCAGTTTGACAGTGCGGTTTTCATTTTGATAACAACTAGTCTTGGGTAGTACACGTACGATGTACTGATAGGTACTAGTACTGGGTGTTGTACTAAAAGTAATGTTTCCGAAAGGCAGCTGTTAATCGGACATTTTGCACTATTAGTACACACTGTCAACTTCAAGCCAGTACTAAAACTATCTATTGTTTACTCTGTCTACTAGTGTCTACGTTCGTTCGTTGTGCGACGTACTATTAATGCTCCGCTTTATTGTTCCGTATTGGTTAACAGTGTGAGAGTAAAAGGGACAGCGATACAGGTGTACTACAATACGTTGGGTTGTAAAGTATGAAGGCAAATCAAATAGTACCTATGCTTAAAAATTGAGTGTAAAGTAATCTAAAAAATCGTATTTAAAAGTCAAACTGTTAGGGTTTATGGGATTCAGAAAGGAATAACACGTTAAAAATAATCAAGAACTGTAATTATTTCTATACTGAAGAAAAGTAACTGCCTAATACAAAGCCATCTATATTATAAAAATTAAACTATATTAAAAAAAAAACCTATAACACTTTTTTTTTAATTACGTATTTTAATTTATTTAATTATTAATGTTCCGTTTCATTAATGTTGGTAATATCAATACAAATGCTTGAGATTTCTACTTCTACTAAAACTGTACTAATAGTACTATTACGGTGTGCTAGTACGATGTACGAATTGTACTAGTACGGTGCGAACCTGCAGATGTCCGATTAAGCACAAGACTAATAACAACAAACCAAAGACAAATTGCCTTTGAAAACAATAAACATAAAACAATTGTCTTTGGTGTGTTGTCATAAAAAACTGCTCTGTTGCTCTGTCTCTATGAGTGACAAAAAGTTTTGTCACTTACAGTGAGATACATGGGCAGAAGGTTTAAACCAACCAATTGGGTTGAAATGGGTTTAAACGGGGTTTTTTGGGAAGAAACGAGTGTAAACCCAAATGGCGGGATTTTAACTGTTATCACCCTAAAAAACTACTAGTAAAACATTTTTGTTTTTTTTTTATGTTACAGGGGGCAGACGAGCAGACGGGTCACCTGATGGAAAGTGACTATCGCCGCCCATGAACGTCTGCAACTCAGGAGTCACAAACGCATTGCCGGCCTTTTTTAAAGATCACTTCGGGACATCAAATGTGTCGCAATTATGAGCGTACTCCTTCCTAAAGGGCCGGCAACGCGTTTGTGACTCCTGAGTTGAAGACGTTTATGGGCGGAGATGGTCACTTTCCATCAGATGACCCGTCTGCTAGTCTGCAACCAAATCATAAAAAAAAAAACATTTTTACTTTTCGAATAGATCCATAGTAACCTGTAGTAACTTATAGAAGTTGTATTTTTGTAGGAAGGATTTCACCTGTTTCGAAATTTTCAATGTTTTATGATTTTTAATACTGATTACACGCTTTCATAGCTATGGCTGCAATGTTTATTTAATGCTTGTTTCTTTTGTCTCAGCCTGAATAAACTCTATCGTTTATGAACCGAATAGACTTTTTTTTTAGAAAAGATTTATACGCAACGAGATTATGCCTATTTTTATCAAAATCCTGTTCTGGCGATGGATTTCAGTTTATTAAATAATAGAAATAAGTACATAAAAATTATTTTTATGTAAAACATGAGCACGCAATATGTAAATTAGTGACTCTCAAAATTGTCACAAACCACGAAACCTAATACGTTTCAATTATATGAAATAAACGTTATTTTAGCAGCTCTTTCTCGATGCCACTTTACTTAATTTTGTAGAACTGCATTTATCTTTCCACCATACAACTCAATTTCCACTAGCAACGCCAAACAGATTGTTTGCTCCAGAAGCATTCTTTTGCCTCATAATCAGTCCGCTATAGCCAGTTTTAGGTAACAGGAATTTAACAAATAGATATGAGAGTTGAAAAGAGTACGTAACGGTTTATTCATTGATATTAATTAACATTTACAGCTATTAAAACAGTAAAATTAATAAACACCCGAATAAAAACGGTGTGGGCGGGAATAAACGGGCTTAAACCCACTGAAAGATTTCAACCCGGGCTTTTGCCCGTCTCTCAGTGTCACGTTACGTCTGCTAAGTGGAGTGTTTTTATTACATATTACGCACTAGTACACCTAGTACGCACTGCCAATTAAATTAGATTCGCACTTTTTCTTTGGCATATAAAAATATTAAAGTTGGTATCAGCGCTCACTCATAAACCGGGAGGTCTGCTTTTGTAGACACGTTCTACCGTTTATTAAGTTACCCCTCTGGACTCAACTGATAAATTCTTTATCTTCCATCCCTTGAAAACTTTCATGATAAAGTGTACCATTTACTTGTTCTATTCTTCCATTTTCATGTTATCATGATGATACCTTCACTTACACGATATTAGTTTCAAAGGTAGAAGAAAAAGTTAAGCACTTTAGCACTAAGTTAAGAATTAAACCTTTGACATATATTTTTTTGGGAAAATGAAGAAATAATTTGCAGCCCATATACAAAGATAGTCTAAAATTACAATGGTTCTAGCTGTTTTGTCAATGTAGTAAATTATCACCACATCTCAGCGAGCAAACTAATGCACTATAACTTTTGACTTTGGTTCGGTTTTGGTTATTTCTTTTTAAACCACCCAAAAAGTAGGAGGCCTGCCAAGCGGGGCTCCGGCACCTATCTTCCTGTACGAGATATTTTGTTCATTCGTATAAAGAACTTTCTTTCTCTTTTAAAAGACAACTCCCGCATTAGGAATATATCATGTGTCGCGGGGGACTTTACAAACATATATGAAACGGACACAAAGAACACCCAGACTCAGAACAACAATTTGTGGATCACACAAAATGGTGTTCCTAGTGGGGATCGAACCAACAACACTCCGCGCAGTAGGGCTCTGCGTGGCGACCGCTTAAATAGAGTAACTTTAATAGAGCATAATTTATTTATTTTTGGTTAAACTTTCACAATAAAATGAGGTTTTAATTTTGGTGATCAATTACTATACATATTTGGCAGTATATAGTGTTTTTTTGACATGATATTTTACTATGGTAATGTAAATATACTACTACTACTATGTAATAAGAATATGTGAAAGGTTTCCTGTAATATAAACAGCCAAAGGACGCCTCGGGAAGAGATGGATTTATAAAAAAACGAATTGCGATAGTTTATTTTATTTAAAACTAAACAGTCCAAATAGCAAGTTATTTAATAAGCCCTAAATTAGTCGATTTCGTCAAGTAGCGACGAACAATCAGAAAAGTCTTCCTCTTCAACAAGAAATCTGTCTACCTGTATACTATTATTTTTTGTTATATTCTTTGAAAATTCCTTCGAAAAGTCTCTCATGGCGTTGTAGATATTCCAGGAGTTATATGTAAGACGTCTGTAAAACAATGTTATTAATATTAACAAATACATATTACAGATGAATCTCTAAAAAAACTGACCACTTATATTAAAAGTAATAGGTACAGATTTTGGATAATTGCGATATTTTATTTAAAGTTTAAAAACCTAGGTGTCATAAAAATCTACTTACAACTCAGCTTCCGTTTTTTTCAATTGTGTAATATGTTGAAAGACCTTCAGCAAGGCTTCCTTTTCTTCACTCGTGGGATCTATTGGCGTCAAGGAGTTCGTATTTACTATTGGAGTCTGCAATAGGACGAATAAATACTGTTATTTACCGATGCAAATACTTACTAAATAAACTCAAAATATGAAATTTGAAATCGTCTTTTATTTAGATTCTAAAGTCATATATCAACACACTCAATAGTAACAATATCATTTTGACAAATATTTAGTAAAATACATATAATGAAATTATACCTATCGAAAATATATTTTATGGCTTTGGAGATCTACAAACGCCCGTTTGCATGGGGTTAGGGCTTATGAGAAGAAAGGACAAATAAACCCTCCAACAAACTAAATAAAAAAATAAAGTACTTTAATCTTTAATTCTTTTATCTTATGACTTGTATGTGCCGCATAAAAAAAATATAGACAGCACAATATCCTTATGCGATAAAATATCCCTGGCTATAAAGAAAGATGATCGTTGATAACCGAAGCAAACAGCTAAATAAATAAGTTGATAAAAATTCGGGTGCTTCCTTTTAATTTGCTAAAGATTTTAAACTGCTTACAAAAGATTAGGTAAAAATATCAATGCTTTATAAACCAAAATGTGACATTGAGGCTGCCATTGCTTAAACTTGATCACGAGATGCACTTCATTATCGCCTGTGATTATTAATGTTTACAAATTTTTTATTAGTTTTCACATATTAACCGGCTTTAATCAATTTTAAAAACCCTTGTCTTCCAAAAAATAAATGATGTAGTCAAACAAAAATTACCTGAAAACTGTTTCTTATCTGTTCTGTAGTTGCAAACCTTACATTCATCATTTCGTGCTGTATTCTATATATGGAAATTTGATTCTCGGTATGGATATTAAACAGAAATGTTCTTCTGAACTGAAATATATTTTCTGTTGGATGTCCTGGACTTACCAACTCCTTGTATATGCCATCAATTGTAAGCATTAACACAGCCGTCTGCAAAATATTATTTTCGATATTGCTCAATCTCAAACGAATATATTTGAAAATGTATTTCAAAAATAAATATGTCAAAATCCTAAACCGTGCAGCACCACTAATAAATAAGTGCAAGGCCATAAATGAGAAATTAAATTTCAAATCAACTCAAACTTAATTACTAAACTTGGATATGATGTAGCCAGGTGCTCACATAATAATTAGAATTTCCGGTTTCTGAACGAATAAATTACTAGAATTACGTACGTAGTACAAGTAAGCATGGCCAAGTCGAATATCATGTTGGCAGAAAGCTGCTTCAAGATGAAATACATTTTATTTTAAATTTTTTAGTAGTTTTGTTGAGCATTTTGCTTTTTCTAATGAAAAGCATTAAGTGCGTGATATATATAGAGACTATGGTATTAGGCCTGTTTTTTTTTTGTTATTCCTTTTTCCAAAAAGAGAACGTTCTGAATTCGACTGCATGATGCTTTTGTGTACATGTTACGTCTTAGCCTAAAAATATAAAATACAACTCACATTATGACACATCACATCAACAGTAAATGTACTTAAATCATGGATTGTCTCAGGCCATCTGGAGAACACCGTAAAAATATGTGCTCTAGAATTGCAGAGTCCGTAATTTGATATAGTTGCAATTTTGTTGTTATGCTCTGGATTTATTAAGTTGCGATGAAACATACCATAATGTTGCAATAATTTCTCTTGTGCATCTAGAACAAAACATCAAATTTGCTTAACACATATACGACATCAACCCAGGTGACATTAACCTGGGGCGACGTCTCCGGTGTCTGGACGTCGTCAAAATGAGAGTATTTACCCAAAGGTAGAACCCGCGTTTTTTAAGCGTCTAGGATCGCGCCCTAACGGTAGATGTTGGGAAGTTGAATATGTATGTATATTCTAATCAGTGTAAGAACTTTTCATATCGCGATATCGGGTAAGCAGTAACTCCGTAGTTCTTTATGTCTTCGTTAGATGGCTCTGAAGCATGTTTTTATTTCATTCTACATAATGTGGAAGTCGCCACAGTGATTGTACAAAATTCACTGAGTACAAATTTACTTATACATAGGTACGTGTAATAATAATATACATCAGAAAGCGCAAAGTACCAGTATTTAAATAAACTACTTACCGGTAAAGTCAGTAGCTATTGTAAGAGTAGCCTGCTCTTCATAAAAAGGCGCAATGCTTTTAAATCCTTTTTTAGCATCAAAGTTTGAGAAATAATTTCTTATGAAGTGCTCAACAACTACCTTCGTTCTTTTATCAGGTGTGGCTTGATAATTTCTAAAGTAAGGAATATTAATACCATGTTGATTGATCTTTACTCCATCCTGAAATTTATAGAAAAAAATGTAAAGAAGAATAACCACAGAGCTCAGTGAATGGCAATTGAATACTTGGAATAATTTCTTTCTAAATGTTTTTCATAGGAAAATGACACTGATACATGTCATGACACTAATAAATGACTACTGGCTCTTAAGATTTCGAATCAGACTACTGTCTGAAAGTATTTTTCCATCTCACGTCTTTTTCTGGACCATCTAAAAAATTTATTGAATGATCACTTGTAAAAAAAAATATAAAAAATTAACAAACTCATATCCATATTTTCTTGTAGTAGTAAGCTTTTCATTAAAAAATGTTTTTAGTCAAAGTCGAAATTAGCCCTTCAAAAATGTCATTACAAAATTTACATACCAGTTCAGTTAATCTAGGGAATCTAATGGCAATTTTCTTGACATATGTTATTGGATCTAATTCTTCACACAAAGGATTGCCTTCAATCCAAAGTCTCTCAATTTTACTGCTTACTCTATGTAATCCTTGTAAAGATGGTATCTGCAAGTAACATAAAATTACAAAATATTAATAATGACGCCATTCCCTGATTGACGTACTACAACCGTTATAATCATCATCATCAACAGCCCACAACACATAGGAGGTTTTGGCCTACTATACCACGCTGGCTAGACGGGTCGGTACAGGGTTAGTTTTAAGGTTTTGCTCACTTAGTGAGGTCTTTCGACACCTACGTCTATTTTGGCCTACTATCCCTCGCTGTCCAGACGGGTTGGTAGAGTGTTAGTTTCAAGGTTTTGCTCACTTAGTTAGTTTTGTCTTACGACACCTACGGGATGAATCGGGGTGGTGATCTTCCGTATTCTTAATACGTCACCACACGAAACACAAACCCACTATATTGTGTACTAATACTGTGCTAGCCTATTGACTTTTTCAGGTTAATGTGTCTAAATTTATTTCAAGTAAGTTCACCTCCATTATATTTTGACTGAGAAAAGAACCCAGGACTTAACAATAATAAGTTAAGAAACGCGCCCAGTAAAAGCCACGGAACTGTCACAGTTTAAGCTATTCAATGCTTTAAAGCCGTTTTTAAAGAAATATTGTAGTATTTACTTACATTATTATAACTTAAATCAATGGCTGTCAAATCTGATTTTATAAAAAAATTCAATATGTCTGCTGGAGCTAGACTGAAAAGAAAAAAAATAGTGTGATAAGAATTTATGCAGTTGATGTTACATATAACAACTAGTGATATGGCAGATATCAATATCCATATCCTTATATACATCAATTTCCATATCTGATATACAATAGAGAAAAAGATTATGTATTTGATAGGTACTCTTTAGCAGCTTGAATGGACGAGAAAATTAAAAATTAACCTGATTTCTTAATTTGGAAAATTGGACCAGAAAATGATTGCAAAATTTAAAAACTGAGTTTCAGTCAACATATTATTAGTATTAATATAACATTAGGAACTCAGTACATAAGGTTTCCATATTCCTATTAGCAGATACACACACTAATAATATGTATTAGTATCTGTACCCATGGCCCATGGAAAATCAATAGTCAGGATTTTCCTGAATATTGCTAATAGAATATTATAAAATATATTGGCCTTGAAAAACTGTGTCAACAGTGTGTTTGTATTTTTACCACCTTTGTATTACATTTCAGTAAATCAACAAAAAAAATGGCCTTTTTAATATTGCTAGTTATTTAAATTATATTACCTTAGATTATTATTTCTTAAAATTAACTTCTTAGTATCTCTTCCCATCCTAAGCATTAGGATTTTAAACTGCGAGAGCAGTGATAACTTGTAGAAAAATATTTTATTGTCCACAAATTCTGAAACATAAACAGTGTTTGACTACTTAGGATTGTTGACAACAATAAAAGTTTTATCTGTGTTTAAATTTAATTATTTCTTTCAGGAAATTGAGTATCATATGACATTATGAAACTTGACTAACCATTATTTTCAAATTTGATATCATCTTAGTTAAAATTTATTTGATGTCATACTTTTTATTTCATATTATATTCTTAGGATTGCCATTCTTAGGATTGGCAATGCTGCCAGTCTTCTGGGTATGCTACCAGTAGGCAATGATTCGGAGGATTTTTTTATGATTATGTGGTAAACTTGCAAACGCAAGTCTTTATGTTTTGTTTAACCATAAACATATAATAATGAACTGTATATACAACCTATTTCACTCCATTAGGAAACGGAAATATTAATTACATATGACCATTTTTCATTTAAATTGGCCTTTTTGTTCCAGACATAGTAACTCCTACATGTAAATTTATTTTTTAGTTTTTTACCAGTTTACCATTTATTAGTTTACCATTTTACGTTTAATGGCTAATGGTAAATTTATTTATTTAATGCTTTAGGCACAAAAAAAATTACAAAGATAGACTTAATGCCGTTGGCATTCTCTGCCAGTATACCTTGGGGTGGTCTAGAGATGAGTGATTAGGTGCAACTTGAATAAAAAGTTCAAAAAACAATAACAAGCCTTAACTAAGAAATACATTCACACAAAAAGATAAGCGAAAAATGAGTATCGAGAAAGGGATAACTATACATATATTCATATTCATTAAAACTTTCTTACATACATACCTACATAAACCTACACATACATACATTTACAGAATACGTAAAATATTCTATAGTGTCGGTGCTAAATATAACTAACCTGAATCTTCACAAAAATTTGACAAGTCAAGCACACACTTTTCAGTGAACCGACAGCACACCACGCTAGAAACAATATCTTCCACAGTAGTAACACGTCGAAAGAAATCAGATGCTGTTTTATCGTTAAACAACACATCCACATTGAACATATTTCTACTGTAGGGAAAAATAAAATCGAACTTTATTAGGTTCATAACTAATTTCAAACTTGATGTGTAGAAAGATGTGAGTTCTCCCTTAGATGTGCAATTTACTGGTATAAATGATGACCCATAGTGATTACTAATTACATCAAAAACTTGTGGTAAACTGTCTTGCCAATTGTGTATCTATAAAAGAAAATTGAACATAATGTTACTTTGGTTGCAATAAAACTTATACACTAATTTTTTTTTGGACAGATCAGTCAGTCTGTGCAACACTATACAGTCAATTTAGAAAGAACTAGACTATAAATATATGTTTGTGTAATAGATATGTTTTAATTTAAAATCATTAATGCATTGGGCTCCATGATCCTAGACAGCGTGTGTAGGCATATTTCTTACACAAGTTCACGTTAACTTAAGACTAACAAAAAATATGAATGGAAAATTAAGAAGACCACTATGATCAAAACTCAATGATATGTACCAACCATAATTTTATGAAAAGATTGATTTGCTGTTTCTTCATTAGTAAGACAGTTTTCAATGTATTCAACAATTACTGGCGTTACCGTAGTTCTGTTGAGTAAAAATCTTTTATAATTCTCCATTAGGTATTTTTCAGCGGCCATTTCTAATTCTTGTTAAAATTACTTAGTTATTAAAATATCGATGTTTCCAAATTGGTTCATTTATTAGAAATGCCAATCAGCCAATATATAAATGTAAATATTTACTTTTTATTATACGTCAATGTCATTCTTTTTTTTGTTTATGCCTATGGATACTGATATAGAGGCTTTCAACCTTAATGCTAGGTATTTGATCCATCAAGGATCTGGGAGTGTAGTCAGGTCACAGTCAAAAACTCTGTATCAATGTAGATAAAGTGAATTTTAGCATACTATTGACTAAACCTTAGTTAAAGAATTTATAAATTATTCGAAGCAAATACAAGCCACTCGACTTGTTAGTTTCATTAACTGCTAGGACTCATAACTAGCAGCATCAGACATGACTTAGATGTAGTTCAATTAAGGGCCCGTCTGCACAGCGATATTTCACCCAAGTTCATAAACTTGAATAAATTATAAGATTTGAATCAGCAAATGCTTCTATTATTGAGAATTATGTCGAGAAAATAATCTGTGATTCTATCATGTAATAAAAAAAGATGTAACATATTTATTTATACAAAATATTTAACCTCATTATCTATAAAGTGCTGCATTCTAAACGGAAGTTCATTTATGCCTTTACAATATAACTCTGGGGATCTAGATTCGACAAACTGTGTGGAAGCACTGCCTGTTTTGTACTGCCTCCTGGAAAGAAAATTTTTGATCAATTATAAAATTGTCCAAATCACGAAAAAAATGGTAGTCCGTTGGAGCAAGGTCTGGCGAATACGGAGAATAACCTATGGTTTCTAACTGCAGCTCTTGTAAGGTTACAACGATTTCTCTTTCAGTGTGAGGTCTTGCGTTATCATGGAGCAATAATGGTGAAGATCGATTCGCGAGTCGGGGCTGTTTTACTGCCAGTTTCTCCATCATTGTTCGAAGTTTGGCACAGTAAACATCTGCTGTTATTGCTGACCAGACCTGAGAAAGCTATAATGAATAACACCATGAAGAGACCACCAAACAGTTATTATTACCTTTTTATTGGTAGGCTTTGCTTTAGGGCACTGTTGCGGCGTTCGACCTGGGGTCAGCCATTGTATTTTTCGTTTACGGTTATTGTAACCAATCAACTTTCGTCACATAGTTCGATCCAATACTCCTTCATTTCTGTACTGATTCAATAAGGCAACACAAGTTTCAACACGCATTTCTTTCTGCAGATCAGTCACATGATTTGACTGATCTTCAAAAATTTGAAAAATGGGTGCCTTTTATCACGTATTTGGTGATAAAAGGCACCCATTTTTCAATTTTTTTATCTTATTGATTTGATGCAAATGAGTTAATATTGTAGGTTGGGTGACGTTAAGCCATACCGCTAATTCCTGGCTAGTTTGTCTCAGATCGGGTTTCACCATCTCTGAAGGAGATGGTGGAACTAGCGTTATACACTTGTGTCGGCGGTCTTCCACGTGGTTCCTTCTTCAACTCGAAGTTTCCATTATGAAAGCGTTTTAACAAAAAACGCATGGTGCGTTCACTAGCAGACTCCTCTCCAAACGCAGCGTTGATAATGCGAGCCGTTTCTGCCGCGTTAGTTTCACGTCCGAACTCGTATTAAAAATGAGTCGGATTTTCGAAGTATCCATCTTTCGCGTCTTATCTGAATAAAAAAAAAACAATTGAAAGTCGAAACTCGAATTACACATTTTTTAAAGAAGAACCTCATAGGTATCATGTGAAAAAAGTTTCACACGAAAAATCTCACATCATGAAGGTTTTATGTCAATTCAAATTATACAACGGCAATTCCATACTTTAACCCAGATTAGATCCATGTATCACAGAATTTTGCGAATAAAAACCATTTAAAAAACGCTTGGTGAAATTTCGCTCTACGGGTCCTAAGTTATCTGTGATGATCACAGATAACTTAGGACCCGTAGAGCGAAATTTGTGACAGTGTGATCATTGTGACAGATTGACTTGACACTACTGGACAGTGACGAATGACTCGTTTCGATTCCATTGGTCGGCGTCAAGGTTGAATTATAATAATAATCAGAAGCTATAATAATTAATTTAAAAAAAATACATACGTACATGAAAAAATTAAGGACAGTCAACTAAAACATCCAAAAATAATGAAGACTACTATTCTTTCTCTTTGCAAAATTGCATTGTTCTTATTAATTTTCATGAGTGTAATTACTCATGTAGTAATAGGAAGTTCTGCCCCTAAAAAATTGCAAATTGGAGTTAAAAAGCGGCCTGCTGAATGTCTTATAAAAAGTAAAAAAGGAGATCTTCTCCACATGCACTATACGGTAACTGGTTTCTGTTTTCATTTAGAAGTATTCAATAAATTGAAATGACTTTCTTTGAAAAACAAAAGATATATACACATTTAATACACAAATTCAATATTTTAGTTCAAATTAGTTTCAGATTAAAGAAATGTTTCACAATGTTTATGTAATCATTAAAATTACCTACATCTCATTATTTGTAAGATTAATATAATGTGTAATGAAGTATTATGATGACAATTTTATTTATAAAACTTTAAGGACTTTTTCACCACTAATGTATTTATGGCAAAAATGTTACTTTTGTTTTAAAAATATATAGATTTCAAAGTACATAAGTACCTAATAATAGGACATTTAGTAAATGGCATAGGTGTCCTGTAAAAATTGGGTTACACATAAAATACTTCAGGCATTGCCTTGATGATTAACACACTTCAATGTTTAGAAACCCGTTTTTAATTTTCCATTATGTTTTCAGGGTACATTAGAAGATGGAACTGAATTTGATAGCTCTATTCCCCGAGGCAATCCATTAACTTTCACATTAGGTTCCGGTCAAGTCATCAAAGGATGGGACCAAGGTTTGATTGGCATGTGTGAAGGGGAACAAAGGAAACTGGTTATACCACCTGAACTGGCTTACGGAGCGGCTGGAGCACCGCCCAAGATACCTCAATCTGCAACTCTTACATTCCATGTAGACTTAGTTAAGATTGAAAGAAAAGATGAATTGTAGTTGTAGCATGTAAAAGGCTTACAATAATGTATTAGGTTTCTTTTTTACAATATTATTATTTTAACTTCAAGTTGAACAGTGTACACAAACACCAATATTGTTTTATTACTTTTTCACAAGATAAAAAATTATTAATTCAGACCTTTTTTCTTTACTGATAAAAATTACTAGATCAACTATTTCCTCTGGTATTCTACTAGAGGAAATAGTTATTCAAAAGTATAAATAATTGTTTAAATAACTATTTTCTCTACATAGTTAAAGCCATATTTGTTAAAATTGCCCATTCCTAACTAGCAAAATCGATTGGAGGGGTCACCCAGGGATCAAAAAAACAAAAATGAATTGCCAGTGGCAAATAAAATTATGATTTATGGCACTTTTTGAAAGCCGTCGATCGCGCGGTTAAGCCTGGTACCTGACCCGACGAACTTTTTACTGCCTAACAGTCAAACTATCATGATAGTAAAGAATCAAGAGTAAATTATTTTGAGCCACTTGGTTAATTTTAATCCAAGTGTTTATATTTGCAATAAAAAATAAATTTTGTTTGTTACCTAACAATATAAATTATTCATAAAACTGAAATTCAATGTGAATCTATACTTAAAATGATGATCTTTCAACGAATGCAAATAATTTGAAAAAGGCAATTCAATTGCAAATTTTTCTCTAGACTCATTCGATTTTGAAACGAAGAGCGGCGCCGATTTGTTGAGCGAGTGAGCTAAGTTCCTTTTTAGTGCCCCAAGCACGAAAATTTTTCGAATGCGTACCTATCGTAAACGTATCAAGTCTGAACTAATGAAGACATGGTAAAAAAATATTTTACCAATATATGTGCAGACTCCAATCAAGGTACAACAATCGAGTTTCTCGTCATCGTCCATCGCTAACCACAGCTGGCTGATTGATAGCTGTCATTTGTCAGTGTCAAATAGACTTAGGGATACGTATCGCATCAAAAGTATTTTGCGTATCGATATCAAAAAAAGTATCGGAATAAAAGTAGCGATACCTGAAGGTGATGAGTATTTTTAGTACATTTATAAAGAACCGGAATGGTGGTTTGTGTAGCTTAGCTGCCGAAAAAAACATATTCCTGTTTTCAGTATTTTGAAACAAATTTTACACGAAGCTGTATCATTTTCATTTTTTTAAATACTTCCACATTTTGCTGGCGACGGTATCTTCTTGAGATTAATTTAACTTTAAATGCAAGTAGTTAAATACGAGTAATGTGTTATAAGCTTTTGTTTCGAGTAAGACGAGACGAAAGCTTGTTAGTTGAGGAATATGTCAGAGACGTACTTTTCTATAACTAAGGAAGTGAAAGATGCTGTGCAAATATTGTAATAATACCATTAAGGGCTGTAATTTTCAGAAAACTGAATAAGTGAAATAGTTAAAAAGACAAAAAGACACTACATAGGCACTAAACCAATATTGCGGCACTCGCATCAGCTGTCTGATCCGAAAAAGAGTTTCACTAAGATCATGGTTTTATAAAACCACACCACACTTTATTTTATTTTTCTTAAGCTAATAATTTATTAGAAATGGGGAGAAGGAGAATATCAATACTTTAAGAAAGTTTAAGAAAGTATTGATACCGCAAAAGTATCGGAACAAAAGTATCGATTCCAAAAGTACTTTGTATCGAAACAAAAGTTACGACTCCCTACACACAAGCAACACAGTAGTGCTGGTGCTGGCGAGTAAAGTGTTTATTTTAGTGGAGTTTTGTGACTGCAGGTGGATTAATAATATTGTTTTATCTCGGCGGAATGATATTTTAGTACGCATATTTATCTCAGTTAGATATGGTCAAAATAATATTTCTTCATCCCGATTTGGGTATCGGTGGAGCAGAGCGGCTAGTGGTAGATGCCGCATTAGCTTTCAAGAATAAAGGCCATGATGTGGCTTTTTACACTAACCATCATGATCCTACCCACTGCTTTGCCGAGACCAGAGACGGGACTTTTCCTGTAACCGTGGTGGGGGACTGGATACCCCGATCTGTTTTTGGAAGATTCAAAGCGGCATGTGCCTACATACGCATGGTTTATGCCGCTGTCTACATGGCTTGGTACGTCATACCAGTCGAAGAGCCAACTCTCATTTTCTGCGATCTGATTTCTCTCTGTGTGCCTTTCCTAAAATTAGCCAGAGGGCCATTTAGAATTGTGTTCTACTGTCACCATCCTGATAAGCTATTATCGTCAGAGGGTGGTATACTTAAAAAGTTGTATAGAGCTCCATTGAATTGGCTAGAAGAGCTGACGACAGCTCAGGCAGACAAAGTCTTAGTTAATAGCAAATATACAGCAAGAGTGTATCAAGATGCGTTTCAGAGAATCAAAGATTTACCTGACATCTGTTACCCTTCCATTAACACTGAGTATTTTAGGATGACTGTTCCAAAGCCTTTGAAAGAGATTGTCCCAGTAGGAACAGATAAGTTTGTATTCTTGTCTATAAATAGATATGAAAGAAAGAAAAACTTGCAATTGGCACTCAGGGCTATGGAACATTTGAAGCACATATTGAATGAAACTGAATGGAGTAGAGTGCATTTAATAATGGCTGGTGGTTTTGACCCCATAAACTTAGAAAATATGGAACATTTCATTGAACTCACTGACTTAGCGGCTGAGTTGGACATTGAAGACCATGTTACATTTATGAAGTCTCCTAAAGATGATGAGAAAGTCTCTTTATTATACTATTCCAGGGCTCTGGTATATACACCATCTAATGAGCACTTTGGTATTGTTCCCCTAGAAGCCATGTACTTTAGGAAGCCAGTTATAGCAGTGAACAGCGGTGGGCCTACAGAGACTGTTGTTAATGATGTTACAGGATTTTTATGTGAACCAACCAGTAAATCATTTGCTAAAGCTATGAGCAAGTTACTTACAAATCCTGAGTTGGGTGAGAAACTGGGTGAAGCTGGTTTAAAAAGATTTGAATCTAAATTTTCATTTGATGCATTTACTGAACAGTTGGATGGAATACTGACAAGGGAACGGCAGATTATTTCTGAAGTGAGGGCTATCGAGTATGAGAATAGGAAGCGTAAATAACATGAAGCTGGCACTCCAACAATATGTGATGTTGTTTGAGTGTATTTACCAAAGATAGAAGATAACATAGTACAACTTTATTGTTGTGCAGAACTTACCTCTCTAAAGTGTCATGCTTAATAAAGTTATAAAAGTATATCTGTTATAAGTCTAATTTATAATTAATGTATATAAATTTTGTATAAAGCTTCAAATAACAGTTTTATTTTTGTACTAAATAAAATTTAAATATGTATTTTAAGATATTAAGTTCATTGATGATGGTTTGAAATAATGATGAGAACTAGATTGTAAGATGTTGTTTTATCTAGAAATCATTGATAATTATGCGTCTTAATATAATATTCAATCTAAGAGTTTAAAAAAGTAACTTAATATTGTACTTGGTTTTTATTTGTCTAATATGTGGCAATTTCAATGTATTATAAATTGATTATACACACACATTTTTGCTGTTTCGAATTGCCAAAAAGTAACTAAATTGAATTGTGTTTGTTGGTTGGTCATAAAGTTATAAAACTGGTAATCAGAACAATATCTTCAAATTAAAATTGTGCTAGATTCAATATTAATGATGCATAATTAGAATCTTGTGATGTCGTAATTACGAAAAAAGAGCACTGCACTTCTGCAGAATTGAAAGTGCTGCTTTAAAATATTACACTAGAATTCCTTTTTGCTGGTAATGTGTAATTGTGTAGTAAAATAGTTTTGTATGTATTAAGATGAAATCCAACCAGATATTGCATGTGTTTGCATACATATGTAAGCTTATTTGTATGCAGCTTCTAATAAATATAATAATTTACAAGTCACATACAGCATGTTTTTGGGAATTATCATTGGATGTTTGCACGTCAAACAACTAGAATATAGCAGTAGCAGTCCTATTAAGTCATTGACCCTGACCTGTAGTGTTGACTGTTGTATGTGATAAATAGTAGAAAAACATGATAAACGGTAGCTATGGTTAAAAAAAAAATTCTATTAATCAATCATAACCAATCTAAAAAAAATGTAATTTGAATTAGCTATAGTCCTTACTGTTTGTGTGTGATGTGTTGCTTCTGAGGTGTCTTATATTGCTCAGAGGCTCAAACAATGTTGGATGTTTAAATGTAATTCCTCAATTAATAACTGATCTGGTAGCAAACAGTTTAAACAAATAAAACTTAAATAAATATAAGCATTTAGCTTAGTTGTATGTGACTGACAGGATGACTGACTGTAAGTAAATATTTAGTAGATCATGTTTTATTATAATACTTTAAGCTTAGCCTATTTCTGGAAAAACTTAGGAATTTAGCTTTATAAGGGTCTATAACATTTAGCCATGTTGTAAATTTGTAAATTAATGTGTAGATTTTGATTGTTGTTGATTCATGTATTAATAAAAATAATAGATAATTATATCACTTTATTTTTACCATATGACGGATAATAGGTAACAGAGCTTATTAACAATTTTTCACAATTAAGCATAGTCAAGGTAATATTCTTTTTTAATATTCTATTACACTCACACAACGCCATCTAGTCCCAAACTAAGCAGAACTTGTACTATGGCTGCTAGTCAACTGATATAAATACATATATACTTATATTTTTGAAGATACATACATATTATACATAGACCAAATCAAACATTAAATTTTCATGCACACAAATTGTTTGACTTGAGCGGGAATCGAACCCGCGACCTTTGGAATAACAGTCCGTTACACAAACCACTACGTCAACCGGTCGTCACATAGTTCATACGTCATATACGTCACACGTTATTTAGTTAGGCACACATCAACAGCCTTTGCTGGACAAAGGCCCTTCCTTCGAAAGGAGGTTTTGGCCTACTATACCACGCTGGCCAGACAGGTTGGTATAGGATCTGTGTCAAGTTTGCCTTCTCTTTGGAGTACTGCTGTCCTGCGTAATTTGCTCCATTAGTCGGCTCTTAGGAAACCCATAGGATGAAGAAGGGTGGTGACACTCCGTATTTTTAATCCGTCACCACAAGGTGTTATAAGCACACCCGCTTGGCCTTTTGGTCCCCTAAAATATCTTATTCCTTTTATATTCCACATCTAATAAATAGAACAGCCCAGTACATACATTTCAGTCGTTTTTTTTTTCAATAATTAGCTGGTTATTTATCTATAAAAAGTGGGAATCCTTGCTTAACTAAATCAATGTAGTGACCAATATTTAAAAAAAATTAAGTCAGAGAAGATATTTAATACCTTCAGGTTTAAGATCATTCATTTTTCATAAAACCTAAACTTAAATAACATCATGGCGAATAATTCTCTTCAGAGGTCGTCTCAGATCAAAGCTACATTGATAATGTCTTATCTAGGATCAGTGAAGTACACACAAATAGGTGATAAATATTTATTGGCAATATGTCAAAGGCCGGTCTTCTGATCTTAATAAATAATAGTAAAAATAGATTACATAAGTACACTATTTAGTTAACACTATGTGCTTATAACATCATTGTTGTAATTAATTATACCAAATTCTACACTTAGTATAGGTGGACAGCCATAGCTAGATTTAATCATACTTAGATAAATATAAAATATTGTCTATCGCTATAGAATATCTCTACAGTCAGAGAGAGCAATCTATACTGTTTAAATAGTTTTATTCGTGGTTATTTTAAATACATTCACTCATAAATAGTCTTATCGATGTTATCATACTGTCTATCAACGTTTTCTTGTGGTAATGGGTCAATGATCTCCAACTGTAGGTCGTATTGCTGGTCCAGGCCCATGTAGCTATCGCTCATTATATACACTGTGTAGATTACGCGGCCTGCAAATAAGTGGTAAATACATACATGAATTAAATATACACATTGATATAGCGTTTATTTGAAGATTTATGATATTGAATTAACGCGATCACTAGGCTTGTGTCAGCCGTGGTCACAATACCACGGCCAGTGCAGTCGGTCTAGGCGAAAAGTCCCGAAAAATCGAAAACTGTAATCATTAACTTAAAAGAAAATATGGATACTGATAATTATAATATAATAATAACTTCACACACCTCACAGCCGCGTAATACATAACAGCAGTATTTGTAGCAATCTTCACGCAAGCGTAGTTTTATTAATAACTTACAAATTATGTAATTAAATCGCTCGACTCGCTTACAGTTATTATGTATTTTTAACTAAATAATCTCTTCTAATCTAAATTTAAAAAAACTAGTGGAACAAGTGATCATCACCGACGATTTTTTTTTTGGCACTCCCAAAAACTTAGAAACGAAAAGAATATAAAAGCTTTGTAACTAACCTCTGGTACATGGTGTATAGAATGTGATCTGTGCCGTTCCCCTGGGCGGTACTCGCTTCAGCGCGTGCAACTCTCCAACGTCAATGTTCCCCAGCGTGACGAACCAGTTTTCGTTCTTGACGCGAGGGAAGCGAGGACAGAGCACGTTGCTTGGGTTACCGCCGCGACGGCGTAATTCTAGCAGCAGCGTGTATTCCTGAGGGATGACGAGAGTGTGAGTTTTGTCATTTTTTGCATATCAGCCTCGTTTTATTACAAAGTGAAAGATAGTTTTGAAATATAAAAGAAAATTGAAAAATTAAAGGTGCGCTCTTGGCGTTGTATCTTTAAACTTATTATCAAGACTCTGTACTTTATGTAAACCTTAATATATTATATAAAAAAACGTGTAATTCTAGACAGTAATGATAATAACTTAACATATCTCACACGCGGCAGTCTGATCCCAAACTATGCAGATCCTGTTCTATGGTAACCAGACTGCAGATAAACGTACTTAAATATTTATAAATACATACATATTATAGATAAATTACACCCAGACACAACAAATTATTATACAACTATATGCCCTGAGTGGGAATGGAACTCACGATCTCCGGTTTAGCAGTCTGGGTCACTAACTACTACACCAACAGGACCGTCAAGTTAATAGGCTACCAAATCTCATTACTGATAATCTTTAAAGGACTAGGAGGACTTTTGATAACTCATCATTGGTACAAGAAAAGAGTATGGATAAGATCATCATTAGATAAGTATCACCTGCATCACTGATATTTGTGATATGCTGATGAACTATGATAAATGGTATGTGACTGATGAGTTAAACACACTTAAATTTGAGTTTGTTCGTGGAGCAATTCCTAAATTAGAAATTTGAAAATTGATGTACCTGATTAGCATGCATCGGCATCCATTGGTCCTTAGGAGGTGGTTGTTGAACAAGTTTGTCCTGTTCATGATCGCTGTCGAACCATTGTCCTCTCACGTGTAATTTGATGTCCAGAGTCGGTAAGTCGCAGATAGCCTGGATGAATTAATGATCATTAATATAGGAAATAGTAAGATATAATGTTAATGTATAACACAGAGGTGAAAGGTCATTCTATTCATTTGTATATAATAAACAGAATCCATGATGAATATAAAACGAAGGCCAACTCTTCAAAGCATAGACAATATGAATCTTGCTTACGGTCAAAAAATATATTTAACTATGATCTCACAATTGGAAAAATAACAACCGCTATTGTGTCATTTTGTATTATTTTTAACTTGCATTAATTAAATTAAGATTTTATGATAGCATTGTATGACGTCACGAATTGTTACGTTTACATACAGGTTTCTAGAGAACGACCCCCTCTGGTGGTTGAGAAAGAAAGTGATTTGACTTAACGTCGAACTACCGTTTTGTGATATAAAACTACTAGAATATCATGTGTTTACTTGTATTTTCTTCTCCAATTGTGGTTAAATATATAACTTATCCAGCACTCTGTGTTTTTAAATCTTGCGACATATGAATAAATGTATTTACGTTATAAACACTTACCTTATGTATTTGTTCAATCTGGTTCTCTTCAAATTCCCGCCTCATGTATTTGGCGAGGAGCTCATAATTCCTCATACAAACGACCTTCAGTCCGTTCAACATGGTGCAGGGTTTGTTGAGCTCCTTCGTCATATGCGAGAACATGTAGAGGTGTTGCGAGTCGACGTGCGGTAATGTCGTGAGGGGCGACTCGGAAGGCCACCGGGCTTGGACTATGCACTGCATGAGGATCTGACAGGATAAACACACGGACAGCCATCCGTTTTCCGCTGAAGTGTCTATCATTGCCTGTGTAATAAAATAATAAAGCACTTAAAATATAAACGTAAATGATTTATAATCCACAGTTTTCGATTGTTTTAACTAGTTCTAAAATAAGTCGAATTCCTAATAAATTGTTGCTTTTTGTTATTAGCTCGAAGTGCTATGATATTTCTTGTGTTGTTCTGTGGAACATATTCATAGCCACATTCTGTTCTGACTTCGTAAAGTGTTACTTGAAGCCTTATTTTGAGCTTATTTTTGTTGTCAATCCTCACCTAATATTATAAATAAGTAAAGATATTGTTTGTGTTCTCGTTTTCGGCGTCAAAAACGTTAACTATTCAACCGATCATCATAAAGTTTTGCTTCTATGTTGTCTGGAGTATGTAATTTTTTAACCTTTAAATAAAAAACTCTTAAATTTTACTAAAGCAGTTTTTTTTATTATTTAAACTTAACGTAAGTTTTGGAATTCCTTGTTGGTTTCGTTTTTTTTTATGAAAAGATTAAAGGCTTAGTAACATCACATACATACACATTACATTACCTGAATAATCCTAATAGTCTGGTCGAGTACCGACTTGGTGTCGGTGAGGTAGTCCGTGTTGGGCAGTGGCACTCTTGTCATGTGCGCTTGCAGCAATAAGAACGCTTTCACATTGGACGAGTCGAGGCTTAGAGCATCAACAGGCAGACGACATTGTTGCGATAGTTCACTGTGACAAGCGGTGAGCATTTATACATTGGATAATTTTAAGAATCACATTTTTAAATTTTGTGTGTTAATAGATGCACAATGATAGTATTTACTCTATGATTTAAATAGAGAAACATTAAAGAAGGGAATTAAAAAAGGAGCAGATTTAGGTAGTGGGAGGTGGGAGAGAGGTAGATGGTAGCTCAAAGACACCTAGTCTTTGAAATTTTCATATATTGAGGGTATCGTAAGATTGTATTAAACAAGAAAGAAATATTATATTTTCACAAATGTTAATATATATAATAATGATAACAATATCCAATATACCTAGTTTCAAACTAAGCACAGCTTGAACTATGAAAGCTAGATTGACTGATAGAATACTTATAGACTTTGATCCGACCAGGGAATCGAACCCGAGACCTCAGCACAGCACACGCACCACCGAGGCAGTAACATGGAAACATTTATTTCAATCAATGAAGGTCACTTATGGTCAATAAGGTTCTTGTGTTATACTTTGTTTTAAGTATATTTTAACTACACAGTTTTTCAGTAGGAAACTATACGTCAACATTTTGAATGAGATGACAGACGTACCCGTTCAGTAAATCTTCGTTGTGTCGGACAGGCAGCGTGGCGTACTCCTCGCTGTCTGCCAACACTCGCAGCAATTCATCCACGTCCATGTTGCTTCGTAAATTGTGGTTGAAATGCGCCATAGTCTTATACGACAGGTAGTAGTAGGACGCGATTCGGCCCATCCAGGTGCAATGGACTGTGCGCTGGTCCTGTCAAACGATATTCAACCTTATTTGTGAGTGTCAAGGTATTGATAACACATATTAACATAATCTTCTCTGGATTGTACCAATTAGCAAATAGTTTCTCTGCAAGTCACTAAGTTTTTATTCTCAATTTTCTTTGACAATTTTTGTTATAATATATATATTTATCCTAAAAATATCATTAATAATACCGGTTATTTTAATGCTGGGGCACAACCACACCTCATTGGTACCGGACTACGCTTTTATGTGAATTATGTGACGTGTATTATTTTAATTGTGTCGCTTGTGTAATTAAACAACTAAAAATGATAACCTTAACCTAGAAATAATGTAGGTTCTCATACTCTGTTGTCAATCTTGATATCATGAGCTGTTAGAAAATTTAATTTTAACCATCGACAACTACTCTATTAAGATGCTTCACGACATGATTGTAAATAAATTGCAAAATAAGAACAAAAATAAAATACTTATCTAACAACTATACAATTCGTGTTCAGAGGGCCTAGTGTAAGTTTATTTCATTTGTACTCGATCGTCACGGTGAACGCGTCCGGCGCTGTGATTGGTGTAGAGTTCAGCGCGGGACAATCGCAACACCGGACGCGCTCACCGTGACGACCGAATAGATTTGAAATAAACTCGCATTGGGGCCTCTGATCAGCTTACCTCTTCGATCTCAATACAATTGGCGTTAGCAAGCACATCTATCGACGTCTGGACCAAGTTTGAAAGGTAATAGTTTACATCTTGTGGTTCGATGCTCTCCAGGTTATAGTACGAAGGGTTCTTCAGTAGCCGGCGGAAGAAGTACGTCCAGGTCATGTAGTCTAAGATGTCTTGTTTTGTGTTAACAGTACCTTTAAAAAAGTACAATTGTTAAGCACGGTCATTGGTAGTTTTAAGAGTAGGTATTTAAGACACTAGATAAACCCATTAGGAGGGCAGAACAGTCATTTATTTGCTTTTTGATATATATAGCATCTCACATTAATAATCAAAGGAACTAGCCTAATCAACGTTATAATGTGGACTTTTAGATCAGGGATTCCCAAACTATTTAGGACAATAGACCCCTTTTCTAATATGAACTGATACCTCAGATCCCCCATAGCCAAATTACAGCACGTTTATCGACTTGTTAAGTTCTTTAAAAGCACAACACTGATACTTCCTACTAAATTATTATTATTATTATTGAAAGTTTTAAATATCAAATCGTGTTGAATAAAAAGTGTTGACCCATAAAGAAACCGATTTCGACCCCAAGGGGTCGATATCGAACACTTTGGAAAACCCTGTTTTAAATGGTGGAAAAAAATATTTTTTTATGTACAGTTAGGAAAACTGCAAAATTAGACTATAAAAATATAATTTTCAATCACTGTTTAAAAATTTTCATTACAGTTTTTATATTATAACTACTTCTTCGATAGAAAGGTTTACTTTCGCTAGCAAAAATTGTGAAAACAAAATTATCCAGTCCCTGAAAGTTCTTTTTGTAAGCTACATTGACTTTAATTTATTTCTAGTTATAACTGCGCTATAATCCCCATGTTATTTTTCATATTTTAATAAGAGTTATTATTTACAAAATCACTTACCAGCGACAATCTCAGCGTTCAAATGGTCAGGCAGCACGTTCAACAAGCTCGACTCCACTGGGAAAGGTTCGTACAAGAACTTCTTGTAGAAGTTCTTCTTTTGATCGTGCACCAACACCACGGCCACACCTTCGTTGTCATACTGCGATACAAATTATATTTAAACAACTAAAGCATTAATGACACATGTAACTCAATCACAAGTCCTTTTAGCCTCGCACAACAAATCTGTGGAACAAGTTGTCGTCTGCGGTATTTCCGTACCGATCCGCCCCTTCAATCCTTCAAGTGCGTACTCCTTCATCAAAGACAACGCGCTTGTGACTACTGAGTTGCGGCAGTTCATGGGCAGCGGTGGTCACTTTCCATCAGGTTAGTCGTCTGCTCGTTTGCCCCCTTTTCTATAGAAAAAGTGTGTTAAAGTGTGTTCCCCCCCCCTAGAATCAGGCTCCGGTAACCTCACTCACTCAGTGATAAGCAAAAATAGAACTGCTTCACAATGGTTTTCTGTGAGGATGTGATATCACTCCGGGAGAACCGGCACTCCAAACCATGACACTCCTATGGTTGATGTGTCATCATTTTAGCCAATTTAAGAAGAAGCCTAAAATTGATGTAAGGCCTATGTCCAGCAGTGGACTGCGATGGAGTGATCATGAAAACAAACTAATTTACATGTGTCCTACGACTCATAAAAACCTGTTCACCAATTAGGACATGATTGATTAACAAAATCAAAAACATCTTTAACTTATTATCTTATATGAGAAAGATTTACTAAGCGAGTTCTATTTCTATTTATTGTATATAAAATATTATAACATCGTACCTGTGGTCTGCCGGCTCTGCCCATCATCTGCAGTACATCAGTAATGGGCATGTCGACGTAGCGCTTCTGTTTACCATCGTAATACTCCGTACCCTTGATAACAACCAAATGGGCTGGGAAATTAACTCCCCAGGCTAGTGTCGCAGTACAAATGAGGACCTAGGTAACAAAAAAAATGGAATAGTTAAAAAACATTGACTGCCTCGTATATATAGTAGGCCAAAACCTCCTTTCTAAGGAGAGGCTTATGTCCAGCAGTGGACTAGTGTAAGCTGTTGATGTGTGATGATGATGATGATGATGACTGCCTCGGTGGTGCAGTGGTAGCGTAAGCGACTGCTGTGTTGAGGTCGCGGGTTCAATTCCCAGGTCGGATCAAATGTTTATATGATCTGCAAGTATTTGTTTCGGAGGTTGGGTGGTTTCTATGTATAATAAGTATGTATTTACAAAAAAGTATTGAAGTATCAGTCAATCTAGCTTTCATAGTACAAACTCTGCTTAGTTTGAAACTAGTAGTAGATTTTATTTACTTATGTATGAGTACGCAAAGACTATGTTGATGTCTGATTCTCTCCAATCACAGGACGGATATTCAAGAACGTGATCCTGGCCTCTTGGAGTTACTACAGTTTCAGTCCTATTTTCCCATCTGTATTTCTTATGCCAATTTACTTTTTTCCCGTTTAAACACGATTACATGCCCGAGGAATGTTGATGTCATGCTGGCCGCTGGCCATAATAGAACCAATCAAACCACTTTTTGCAACGTTACACATTGCGCTGACACCAAATAATTTTGGAAATATGACATGAAGATTATGATGTCCTGGGACATGGCCTGGCCTGGATTAGTGTTTTCACCAATTGCTTGACGGACATTTAATTCGGACAATCCCGTAAAGCCGTATGTATTACAAGGATGTAATTAAATAAGAAATTATAAATGCATGATAAATCTATAGATTTACTTTTGTTTACCTGTATTTTTTGGTTAATAAACAATTCTTCAACAGTCGTTCTATCTCTTTCATGTAAACCTGCGTGATGTATTCCGATGCCGAATGCGAGGGTCAGTTTTAGATTAGATTCCCGGATGTTAGCTAGGATTTGTTCCATCTCTGACTCTTGCATGTGCAGCCATTGTTTAGGGTTCTCTTCAGCTGCGAGGTACGCGATTAGGTCTAATGCTGTTAATCTGAAAAGGGAATACATAGTTTCAAGTGAGACAATAAAAATATCATTCAGCCAATGTGTGTATAAAACGTATTTTCGTAGTAAGGTATTAAATATCCAAAGTTGATTGTTATGTGATTATATCTTATTGTAACAGAAAATTAAATCAGTAATCTGCTAGTCTTAGTAATACTTTACTATTTTACTACGAAAATACCTTTTATGACAGTTGTGAGATCGAAAGTTAATCGGAACTGAATTGTGACTGGACTTTTATTACGAGAATTGGCCTTTTGATTGATTTTTAAATTTAAATCTAAAAGAAAACTAGATCTTTTTTTTACATATACTACATGTACTACACTGGCTTGAATCTGTCAAGAGCCAATCCTTATTCCATCCTCCAATATTATTTATATAGCCTTCAATTTATCTGAGGTATAATTAGCTATTTCTTTTTGTTGCAACGGGTGCTAGGCAATACCGGCATTACCTTTGAATATAAATTTTAATCTTCATGAGCTGACAAAAATAATAGTCTTTTTAAAAAAAAAAGATGTTACCTAGTCTGTCGTCTACTGGAGACGAACACGAGTGTTGGTGCGCAGGGCGAGTGAGTTCTTATCGCTTGGAACGTTGGCTTGTTCATAGTCATCATGCGGGGACAGTAGTGGCGGCCTGGATGACCTGATATATGCACCTATAACAAACATTTTAGTATAATAGCCACTGGATGAAAGTTCGGAAGTAATAGGTTATCCTGGTATGGACATGTCATGCGGAGGGATGAAGGAAATGTGGCGAAGGAAGTGTTAGGTATGGGAGTTAAGGGGTAGAGGAGAAGAGGAAGACAAAAAAAGGTAGATGGACTGTGTGAGTGAGGAGATGGCTAGGGAGGGAGTAAACAGTGAGATGACGAATGTTAGAATCGTACTTACTGCGCCGACCGCAAATGAAATTGGGATAAGGGTAGGCAGATGATGAAACGTCTATGATTAAATAATTTTAAATTACTGAAGACACACATAGTATTCTATTTTAAAACACATTTTTTTAATAGTAATCTTTGTTCTAATCGAGTTTGACTCTCATTAATATACAATATCAATATTGGATTTTGGGATTGTTTGTCTAGTGATTCTGGTGGCTGAGCCAGAGATCGTGGGTTCAATTCCCATCCAGGACCAATAATCGTATGATGAGCACGATCATGTGTTATATAGGTATAATTGATATAATCGATATGTCATCACTAGCAATTTGATTTTTTAGAAATGTAATACAAGTAAGTTCAGACTGTTTACCATAATACAGGATCTGCCTATATTTTGATAAGAAGACCTGAATCAGAAACAATTGTACATATAAAAATAACAGCTACATGTGGATGTCGAACCCAAAACACTTGACGTCGCTGTGGTGTCCATACAGATATTTAAATATACCATGAGTAAGTACACATAAGATAAAAATGGGTATTTTACAATATAAGAAACGTGTTTACGAACCTCTAAAGGCACAGGCCTTACTGATGGCCTGAAGTTATACAGTCCCATATCTCCTATATTTAACCAGTTGGCCAAGTCCTTAGCATTTGCAAGAGCCGTCGACAAGCCGATGATACGTAATCTTCGTGATGTGTGAGACTCAATGAAGTTTGTTCTGTAACAATGTTATTGGACTTAAATATTTACAAATCTACTTTATCTAATCGTAACAAATTTGAACCAGTAGCTTTCAGGTGTTGCGGTATTAAAGCGGTTCAAAAAGTTACCTGGACACGATGACCTCCAACACGGGCCCCCTGTCCTCCCCCAGCAGGTGTATCTCGTCAATAACGATAAGGGCCACGTCGCGCACGTAGTTCCTCGTCTGCCACGAACGACTGATGCCGTCCCACTTCTCTGGAGTCGTTACGATCACGTGGGAGTTCTTGATCGCCCGTATGTCGGGGCTAACGTCACCTGAAAGAAATTCAATAAATTATTTAGGACTAAATGTTATTCTATAAAACGTTTTTTTTTTTTAGAAAAAAACTAGTGTATCAATAATTAAATAAATATTACCATATTTTTTGTTATTGCAGTATATAAAATAAATGTTATATTTTCTCTCTATAATATAGAGAGAAGCGTATATTATACATACATATATGCATATTATATGAACATTATAATTTCTGTACAGGATATATTATTAGCTAATAAGTTCTTACTGTTATATAGTTATATTTCTATTTATATCAGCAACTTATTTAATCACATAATCTGGCGATGTTCATTCGATATGACAATCATCATCAACAGCCTTTAATAGTCCACTGCTGGACACAGACCTCTCCTTAGAAAGGAGGTTTTTGCCTACTATAGATAACTACCTACCTACCTACCTCGATATGACAAAATATAGTAAAAATAAGAACTTGAACAATGTTTGAGTCCTTTCCAGTTAATGGCAATATGAAAAAGTAATGTCTACCAACCTGTCAATTCCACAACTTTCTTTCCTAGTCTTTCTTCGAGTCTTATCTTCCAGTCTTTTATTCGTTCCTTTACAAGCGCTTTTAAGGGAGCAATGTAAACCACCTAAAAATTATTGAAAGAAAATAAATGTTTTTTTCTTAAGTCATTCTTTAATAATATTTTTATTATTACCTCCAACTCAATGTTTGTATAAGGAGAGAAATTTCGTAAGGGTCTCGGGTAGAAACTTAATTCTACAATCTTTCAGTGCAGCCCGAGCTTTTTCCACTATGTTTATATTCATCAGTAGCTTGCAAAGACTCAATTAAGCTCGCCGAGTGCGAGTGAGATGAGGCAACTCGCATGAGTCTCATTCGCCACTTCCAAACACCAATCTAACTTTGACGCAGGATATGGTACTTCATACCGTATCAATTTGTTCAAATCATATTTTGGTATTTGGCTAGGAAAGCCATGGATTATTATGGACTTGTTGAAAGGAACGAAACTGATAATAATCCATTTTTATTTATAATTTAAGGGCTTTATACCTAAACAGTGTTTACCTTGCATCCTGGATATTGATTGAACACTCTGAACATAGCGACCTCAGCTACGATAGTTTTACCGGAGCCGGTGGGAGCTCCCAGCAGTACATTGTTGTCAGTGTGGTACAGACAGTGGAAGATCTGAGTCTGTATCGGATTGAAGTGGCTAAAGTTGTACAGCATTTCGTATGAGGGATCGTTTAGAGCTGTCACGGGAAGTGGTTGAAGTTCCAGAAGATCTGTAAAAAAAATGTTTTTTTTCATGAATGGTGTCATCACTTATGATAGTAATAATATGGTCACATGACTTGTACTTTATCTTTTCTGTTTTATCTGCTCGTTTGCGACCTATAACATAAAAAAGTGTTAAAAAAGAAAGTGTTGTCAAGAAGTGGAAGTCTTTTTTTATTTTATAACATGGTTCGCTGTAACAGCCTGTTCCTTTAGTATTTCTAAATTAATTATTTTTTAAATATGTATTACCTGTGTGAGGTGGATGCGTTTCTGGTAAAATTAAATGTTGGAATGTTAGAGGTAGCACACTTTCTGACCCGAGCCACCTGGAAATGGTAAATTCTGTTAAAATTGACAATTCTTAATCTATACATAATCAATTTCCATTAAAAATAAATAGAGCAATAATCTGGCAACATTGACACGTAGAATGTGTTGCTATATAATAAATTAATGTAGTCTGATTTCGTATCTATGTGAGAATAAACTTTATAAAATAATATTAAAGAGACAGTGTAAAATATTTAGGTTTTGACTAAAGTTTTTGTTTTTGAAGTTAGATAAACGATTCAGCTATTGTACTTAACAATAAAATAGATTATTAACATTTACTTCACCTTTCTGATGTTGCTCTTATGTAGTATTGAGGGGGCAATGGTTCACTGATTGGGATAGTGATGACAAGCTCTTGCGGTTCGTTCGTTATTACCTGGATATTTGAATCATAATAATAATAAGGTTATTTAAAGGAAATTTAAATAATAATAATAATTTACTTATTTAAGAATTGCAAAATGGTTTAACACTTTCACATACCTGTTTCTTAGTGATGAGAAAGTATTCGTGATAGTACATTATGTCAGTCTCTGGGTCTTCCACCCATATCCAGAACGCTTCTGGTGCTTTCCCGTGGTATTTGTCATTCCATCTTTAGACAATAACATGAGTATTAGTTTCAAGAATGATTTTGTTTGTTCTAGTAAATGGGCGGAACATTAAAAGTACTGTACATTAACTACATAACTTACAGTACTTGGTCATTCCTCTTTGACCAACCTCCTTATTGGGGTTATGTTAAAATAAAGTAAGATTTACATATTTATGTGGAAAAAGAAAATCTGTTGAGATCTTTTCAGCATTGGTAAAACTAATTGTCAGACACAGAGTGCTATTATATTATCATAATAAATGGTATTATTCAAACTTGGATACAATAAGCGTTGGAACAGTCTCGATGTAACTGGGTTTATTACAAAGAACAACATTGTTCATATACATATGTAAATATTGTATAAGTACATAGACCAAGGTTACTGAAATATATGTCTAATAATACTCACTTAAAGCTAGGGGTAATAGTCAGTCGTATCCTCAAAACAGTCCTTGTGATAGGATGTAGACTAGCTTCCATTTCCAGCAGTGGAAACTCATCGGCGCATTTCTTTAAGTGGCGAGCGTTTTTAGGGTTGCGGATTAGGTCACCTGAAAATATTGAAACAAGAATAATGTAATGAACTCTCAAAAATGGACTAATTTTTCCCCAAAGGAAGCAGCGTGGTTCCCTAATTGTAATATTCCGGTGCTTTAATTTGTTCATCTATCAAAGTAACTTTCTGCTCAAACTTAACCCCAGTTAGCTTTTTAAGAAGCTAACTACATCAGAACTATTAAATCTATGTTTTTTTTTAGAAAGACAACTTCTTATTAATACATCCAGTGTCACGGGGGACTTTACAAACATACATGCAACAGACACAAAGAATACCCAGACTCAGAACAACAATTTGTAGATCACACAAATTGTGGGGATCGGACCCACAATACTCGGCGTAGTTGGAAGTGGCGTGGCGACCGCTTAAACCACTACGCCATCCGTGCAGTCACATATATTTTAAATCGATTTGTAATGTTTCTAAATTAGTTTAAAATACTGCTACAAATAGTTGCATTTGCAATAAATAACATGGAAATGGTAAAAGACTGTTAAAACTTAAAGTAATAAACAAATTGGTCCCTCGAGTAATTAGTAGCTTCAATAACATCAGTTGTAATGTAAAAATGAAGAATTTTTTTAAATCGATTATAACTTTCTAGTAAATATAATTGACTATTATTTTTAATAGAATAGCCAACTGATTAGGGTATCACCAAGAGGAAAGCGTACAAATGAAATTTTCTACCAAGTCCCTAACCCTGGATAAAAAAAGACGTACCTAGCTCCTTCCAATCCATGTCCCTAATCTGATCAGGCTTCAGCATCGGGTACTCAATATGTTTTAACGTCTCTATAGTGAAGCAGTTGAATTGTCTCATGTCACTGTAGAAGTCCCACTGTTGAAGCTCTAACATCTTAGCCATTTTGAGATATAATCCGGCCATATATGCGTTGTTCTTGCGGAGAGTTATTTCGAACAGTGCACGAATTATTCGAACTGCATTCTGGAATTGAAGGAGATGTCATGTGTCGTTTTGAATAGAAATTAACCTGATAAACCTGGTTAACTGCTAAACTTATGATTAAGGACTGCACAAATACACTTATATAGAATACATTATGTGAGTGCATTATACAATATTGGTAAAAGATACAATTTTGTCATTATAGGATCAAAAACATTAAATTTTTATAATTTCGTGTGACTGTTTCCTTTTATTAAATGATGAAGTGTTACAGCTTAAGATGAGCTGGCTATGAGACGAAGAATCGTTATTATTTTAAAGAAAATCTGAAGTACAGACTGTGTGCTTTATTATTGACATTCATACTTATAATTAAACTGTAACAGGTAAAATATCATCAATGGAATATGTAATGAATATGTTTTTGGATGGCCTGGATCCCCTGGACTACTCGTAGAATTCAAAAAATCTTTTTATGTTGGTTAGAGTATTCATTAAAGCAGGTTATAAGGTATAGAACTTCACGCCACGGCCATTAGGAGCAGAGTAGTAATCATAAATGTGGGTGAAACTAAAGATTGGCGAATACAACATAGAGGACGTATATCGTCCAGATTCAAAAGAATGTCTTTACACACCTGGCTGATATAATTAAGGTCAGACTGTAGCGAGGACCCATTGATGCGTCCCCTAGCCAAATAAGTCTGTAGTAAAATGTTGATCTTCCAATGTATATCCTCAGGTGCATCTTCTATGCGCAGCTCACAGTAGTGGTCTTTAAGCTGCCATAACTCTGTTAGTTCTTCTTTACGGACCTAAGGATTAATTATAACAAATAAAGTTCATATGGGGTTGGTTAAGGAATATATTACCTTAATAAACATGTGTCGACAAAATGCAATCTTTTTATTCATTAATTTTTAACAATGTGTGGATATAAGCGTCTTTTCGGTAGTTATTTCGCTCTTGGTCTCTACGACTAAGGCACATTTAATCTTAAACACATATAAGTGTGTTTTGGAAGAAAACAATGTAATAAACAACAAGAAGATCTCTCTTATATCTGAGATTTGCAGTATATACAGACTACCGTTTCATTATGATACAGCGGGCAAACAAGCAGATGGGTCACCTGATGGAAAGTGACTACCGGTGCCCATGAACACCTGCAACTCCAAGCGTGTTGCCGGCCTTTGAGGAAGAAGCTCTTTTCTTGAAGGTCGTATTAGTTCGGAAATGCCACATGCGACAATAACTATCAAATTTTAAATTTAGAACCCTGCTACTAACCCTTATTAAAATTTAACGCGGAAGGAATCTCTAAAGCGGAAATAGGGAAAATAGTACAGTATTAAAGAAATTCTGGACTAACTTTTAGCTGCTGGAAGTCAGAACACCTAGTGAGCATCTCGAGGACGTAGCCCTGTGTCATCGACTTGCGCACCATAGAGTTGAACACCTCCATCGTCTCACACGTTATGTAGTAGTGGCTGGCGGTGCGACCCAAATCTACAATCGAGAAACTGACTATTTATTACAAGTATTTTTTTCTTTACCGCCGATTTACATTATAAATTGACGGTTAACAATAGCGGAGTAGCGGAGTCACTTTGAAAGCGATGGCAAATGCTTCAGGAAACAAACAACTTCAACTTCAGGAAACAATTATATTACTTTTTGTAACATAACTAAAGTAAAACCTGTGTCTTACTTGTCATGTAACTGTGTCTTACTAAGTTAAACATAGTCTATTTATGTATTTAATTTGAATTATACAAATAACTACCGCACACACCTACATGCACTAGCATACTCATGTACACACACATAAGCAAACACATACTCACTTACAGACACACACATACACGTACACTCGCAAGCAAACCCACACTCACACATCTCGTTTTGCTATTTTTTATCGCTTTTCTCTTGTTTGTCTACTTATATAATGTATTAAAAACTAGTACATGATACAAGAAATATAACTATGTTTCGTCCAGAAGGTGTGAGCCTGGTGAGCTGTAACACAGGTTTTACCTACCGCAGACACCAGTCTCTCACAAAGCAATGATATACCTAATCTGAAAGATTTGTGTTTACAATTTAAACACCTAACTTTGTGATGAGAGAAATAAATAAATATTATTATTATTTGTCTCTTGCCATACCAAAGTCCCTCAGTCGGGTTTTAGACTTGTAAAATAAAAAATCAATAAAGCATCTTGTTATGCATAAAAAAAAAACCAGACAGACACCAAACTAATAAAGTAAAAAAAAACAAGTGGTAAAAATACGTAAAATTACAAAAAATATTAATAAGAAAGTCCGAATAATGATAATCACCAGTTATATTAAGATCTCCAGTGCGTTCGTTGTACCGTATCATGTGAGTTTTATCCAGTTGCATGGCGGCGGCCGTGATCAGTTCCCGACGTTTAGTTTCCAGCATTGGCTCTTCTTGTACGTCATTGTATGTTAAACCGTACACCTGGGATATGTACAAATAAATCATTAGCATTTGTAGTTGTAATAAGTACTTTACAATTTATATTACACTACTTTCTGTTACCTGTGGATTAATCCTCATTCTTACAAACAAATATGTGTAACTTAACCATTCAACTGCCTCGTCAATGTTTGTCACGGTGCCAAGGGCGACCTGGAAATTAAAGTAATTGTTTAAATATTAGGAGTTCAGGAGAATATTAATATTATTTTTTAATTTCATCATCTGTCGTGAACAGAAATCTTACAGAAATGTTGTATAGTTACAAAACAAAGGGAGCATTATATTAAAATGTGATAATGCCAAAATGTTTTAGTACATTTTGTTTATTAAAATAATTATAATTAATAATACATTGTCCATGGTCAATAATACCAACCTCAGCGTTCAAATTATCAGCCAACAGGTTAATAAAGTTGCTCTCAATAGGGAACTGATTGGTCATAGACTTCAAATAATGCGTAAGCTTATCGTGTGTGGTGATAATAATGCCGGTACCAGATGTATCAAACTGCGGTCGGCCAGCGCGACCAAAGATTTGTAGAACATCCAGAATACTCAAGTCTACAAATGTCCCGTGGCTTTGGTCGTAGATTTCAGTACCCTAAAATAGTAAACGTATTACCACTACAATACATTATAAAAAATACTGTACAAAGTAAGCTTTTTATTTATTTTTTTAGTTTTAGCAACCAGCAGGAACATTGTTTCACAATAGTACTTAAAATAAACATACCCTTATAACGACAGCATGAGCGGGCAAGTTCACACCCCAAGCAAGAGTTGATGTACAGACCAGAACTTTTATAAAGCCTTCCGCAAAATATTTTTCTACCATATTCCTGTAAAATATAACCAAAACAATACATTTATTAAACTGTATTTTAATTAAAATCGGCGGCGATTCCGTTAACTCTACAATTTGTTCTTTCAGGAGTATGTTAATGTTTGCAATGGACTGGACTTGATGGGATTCACACCTGCATACCTTTTTATTGAAGAACAGCGTTTACACAGTCTGTATCATCATCTGTCTACCCTTTTCCCAATTTTATTTGGGGTCGGCGCAGTATGTATGATTTTTCCATTCTACTCTGTCATGCGTCATCTCACTGTTTACTCCCTTCCTAGCCATATCCTCCCTCACGCAGTCCATCCACCTTTTCTTCGGTCTGCCTCTTCTCTTATACCCTTCAACTCCCATACCTAAAACTTTCTTCGCCACATTTTCCTCATCCCTCCGCATGACATGTCCATACCAAGATAACCTATTATTTCTTAACTTTTCATCCAGTGGCGCTACTTTCAGGCTCCCTCGTATATACTCATTCCTAACCTTGTCCATCTGAGTCACACCACACATCTATCTCAGCATTCGCATTTCGGCTACGTTCAGGCGTCTCTCATCCGTTCTCTTAATGGGCCAACTTTCAGAACCATACAGGACGGCAGGTCTGATAATAGTTTTATAAATTTGTCCCTTCAGTTTTAAGGGGAAACTGGGGTCACAAGTTGTTCCCGTTACCTGCCGCCACTTCATCCATCCCGTAGTATATCAGCTGTAAATTAAAATTGGATTACAGGGTTCAAGTGAACGCAAGGTTGACGTGCGGATGAAAAATTAAGCAACTGCAAGAGTCAGTGTTGCCAATTTAACTTATAAATTGGCAACGTGACCTATAATATTTAATATTTTCACCATGGTAATGGTTCACAGATAAGTAACAAGACGCGGAAAATGCCTCTAGTGTGATACGATGTCGTCGTCATAAGTTATTGTTGATTTTTTGTAACGCAATTTATATCTTACCTATCACTCCTCAGCATACCCGCATGATGACACGAAAATCCAAAAGCAAACAGCTCAGCTAGCTGTTTATTAGGGCTACTGCCAATAGATTTTTTTGCTTTCAAAAATGCTCCAGAATCCTCCGGTTCAAAGTGCTTGAGGTGGCCTTTCTTTTGAGCTATTTCTTTCAGGATCATCGCAGTTTGGTGTGTGGCGTTCCGAGCGTGGACGAACACCATTACTTGGTGTCCCTTTTGTACCATGTCCACAGCCTTGTCGTAGCATATTTCGTTCATTGTTTGTACCTATGGTAATATCATAATAACATTATTTTTACATTTACTATGCCACGATTTATATGTATACATACACTGACGCCTATGAATAATTTTAAAACACCTACCATTGAATATCCTTGCCCAGGGACGGTGGCCACTAGGTCAGGTAAGGTGGCGTTATCGGTTAAATACACATAAATACAAAACATTTAACTATAATAATGCTGACCTGTCTCAAGTGAGCGCCGCCTCCACTACCACTGTCTTTGACACCAATGAACTGCTGTTCTAGCGGGACTGGACGGAATCGGTGATCGAAGAAAAATAGTCCGATGTTAGGATTTACACGTAAAAATCTGAAAATCAAATTACATTAAATACTAGCTACTAGCTTCGCATGGATAACGGAATTATTTTTATAACCTCTAATGACCTTTCCCTTTCGTACCACAGGATATTTGTGTAAAAAAGTGATAGTACAAACCTGGCAACGTCTAGATAGTTAGGTAAGGTGGCGGACAGCCCGACGATCCGTATCATGTTCTGCGTGGACTCCACTTGTCGCAATGTTCTAGCGACTATGGCTTCTACGATCGGTCCTCGGTCGCCGTGCAATAAGTGAACTTCGTCTATGATTATAAGTTTTACTATCGATGCTAGTTCAGTGTCAGCTGTAAACAAATAGGGTGAGATTTGACAAGGACATTGCAACAATTTACCGACAAAATTTAATGGATTCCGAAAGGAAAATTTTGAACGTAAGTAATTATAAATACAACTAAGACAAAAACAAGGAGCAAGCGATTTGCCCAGTAGTAAGCGTTATAAGCGCATAAGTGCTTACCGTCAGAAAAGCACTTATGCACTTTACTACTCTTAGCAGTAGCACTGTGTTGTTAAAGTTTGAATTTATTTGAAGTCACTCAATTTTCGTAAACGTCGTCAGGCGCCTGACGGGACGGGTATGCGGAGTGTACCTTTCGAATAGGTATCCTAAAGTACATATCTGAGGTACTTCCTAAATTCAAGACAACTTGGTCATCTGCATTGTTGCCGAGTCTTTTTTGTCATTAAGAGTTCTAGCATGAACTCTTACTCAATTACATCTTTGCTGAGAATTACATTCAATTACAATTACATCTTTCTGCCCAGCATAATACATACAATTTGGACCCTTAGCTTAACAGTTTAAGATGACTTTTACTCACTAGCGCCCTTTCTTGTAACGACATCCCATTTCTCCGGTGTAGTAACAATCATCTGTGTCTGTTGTACTTCAGTTTTAGTCAGTTTCATATCTCCAGTTAACTCGCGGACTAAAATGCCGAGCCCTTTTAGTCGTTTTCCGAAGCTTGCTGTCATTTCTGAGGCTAAAGCTTTCATTGGCGCTATGTAGATTATCTATTGGAAAGACAATATTTGAATTGGGGTCTTAAAACTGTATATTTAAGATAATTTATAATGAAATAATAAGGTGTAAGCTCTATTAAGGTAAATTTGAAACTCTCTGGCCAGTGGTAAAGGATGCCAAAACCTCCTTTCTAAGGAGAGGCTTATGTCCAGCAGTGGACTATTAAAGGCTGTTGATGGTGATGAAACTCTATGTTTATGAAAAACTGCTTTTATTAACTTCAATTCTAACTATTTAATGACAAATTACTAGTGTCGTATCAAGATGAAACTTTGTTTATATAATATTATGAAGTTGGGATAACGATGAATGTGGAATTTATCAGTAAGTATGAGTAAGTCCTCTGAGTTTGGGCTCAATTGTTTTTTTTTCATACAACATATTTGGCTGAGTAATGACGGTGCAATCAACGGTCACGGTGAACGCGTTGCGATTGGCCCGCACTGTGATTTTATTTCACATTAACCAGCTTTCGTCCGCGACCGCGTTCGGCGTTGCGGTTGGTGAAGAATGTGAAATAAACTCACACCAACTCTTCCTCAAGAGGTCCTCTGAAGTCTTCACCAATCGCAACGCCGAACGCGGTTGCCGTCGGCAGCGAGTTGATGTGAAATAAACTTGCACTAGGCCCTCATTGCAGTGAACTAATAGAACTGCGAGAATCTTATACCGATCACACCACTTTTCGTTTTCGGTATGTAATTTTGATAAAAGGCAAGCAACCTAACCACAATCATATCGTAGAAAAATAAAACAAACCTTCGTTCTGGCAAAATATTTCGGCCTAAGGTGTACTTCTGTAAACATAATTATTACAATCAATTGTAACTCACCTTAAATTTATTTTTCATGATAACGTTGTTCTCTATGTGCTGTTTTATCTGATGTACGACAGTCAACAGAGCTATATTCGTTTTACCAGCACCAGTGGGAGCGCATATCAGTAAGTTCTCGTTCGTGTTGTAGGCTGTTTGGAATACTACTGACTGTATCCTGTTTAACTCTTTGATGTTCTCGAAAGCCATTTGACCGATCTGAAAGTGATTTTTGTATATCAGAATAATTCAACGAAGATGTAAAAAGAGTTTCTATACTAATCGAAGTTAAAGGGTCATCCAAAACATGTCATGGGGTCAACTAAGTGTTAAGGTATGTTGTGTTAACAAACCATAAAAAAATATTAGGCTTAGAGTTGAAAGTCCTTGGATTGAAGATGTTTCTATCCAATTTTAGATCTTTCAGTTATATAAATTAGTTTTTGTTTCGATAATTTTTAGTATGTTACTTTGAAGTTAATTTTATTTACTGGCCTGTTGGTCTAGTGATTAGTGCTACGCCTACGCCTACTCTGACTGCTACGCCAAAGGTCGTTGCTTCGATTTCCACCCAGGACAAATAATTGTGTGTTGAACACGGTCATTTGTTCTGTATCTGGGTGTGATTTATCTATAATATGTATGTACATATTTAGAAATATATAAGGATTAAACATCAGCAGTTTGGTTACCATATTACAGGCTCTGCTTAGTTTGGGATCAGATGGCCGTATGTGGAATGTGTGAAAATATTATTAACATTATATTATTATTATTAAAAAAATATGAAATTATTGCTTTCAGGTACTAAGTTTGGAATTGACAATTGCAAAACCGCTTCTGCAATTTCCACGAGGAGAAAGGGGGTATTTGTGATGCTCGTTTAAGTTCTTAAGGGATGGAAGTGGGGAAAACAAACTCGCTTTGATTTGTTTTACACTATTATTTAAGATTTAAGACACATGACTTTACCTCATCCAATTGTGAAACAGGTATCCTCCGGTTGCCGACTTCAAGTGGCGCTGGTTCGTTCTTTGGTATTATAACCTCTTCATATTCCTTATTGTCTTTTCTTATAGCGTTGTCTGGTAATATTAATTTTAAGCCCGACACGAAACCTACAAATAATAATAAATAACGATAATACATTATTTTACTCCAGAAATATTTGTACTTTCAGATCTTAAGATGTATATTGTATGGAAGAATGTCTAGAAGGGTGTGAAAGACTTGAACTTATAAAAATGTCGAGTAATTGAACACACGCATAACTTAGTAGGTAGGCAAGTGAGGTGTTGTATTTTTTATAGGCTATTTAAGCAATTTACTTTAATTTACACACAACGCCATCTAGTTTCAAACTAAGCAGAGCTTGTACTATGAAAGCTAGATTGACGGATAGAATACTTTTATACTTTTTTTTTGTAATTACACATTATACTAATATATAGAAAACACCCAAAGTCCAAAACAAATATTTGCAGATCAAAACTTTGATCCGAAACCGTAAGTAGAACCCGAGATCTCAGCACAGCACTTGCACTGTACCATTGAGGCAGTCACAGTAATAAGTTGTTAATAATTTGACACACCTTTTGATATAGTGGACCCTGACTACGAAGAGAGATCTCGGTCTAATATCTTGGACATGTTATAATGTGATTGAGCATGGACCTTTGTAATGTGATTAAATTATAAATAATGTGTATGTTTTTACTACTATATTATTTTATTTATTAGTATTCTGGTTACAATATTGCAGTTCTCTGCCTAGTTTTGATTCGGGTGGTCGAGAGGTATCTCATTTACATAATACTTTTAATGTTTTAAAATTATAATTGTATTTTACCTGCTGAATTTTTCGCATTAATAGTTGAATCGAAGACATTTGGGTACTGAACTTTAGTTTGGAAATATGAGATTTTTTGTAAAATAGGGTCAACATTACTTGAAGATCTTGATGTAGAAAATGGTACCACTGGCTTCGATAGCTCGGCTAATCTGCGTAATAAAAAATTATGACATCAATTTGAAAATTTTGAAAAAAGCTACATATTTTAGAGGGATCTCTTATGTCACTTGACCACATGATCTACATAGACCATGTAAAGTAAAAGACTGACATTTAAAACAGTCATAACCATAATATCATCATCACAGTGTTCATACTGTCATAACCTTATTAAATTAAGATAAAGATAAAAACTTTAATAAAGATTAAATCTGAAAAAGAGTTTGAGAGCAAAACAATAAACATATGTACTCGTATATAGAGAATTGAAGACAGTAAAGATCGTCAAAAGCAAATTACTTCTAAACGTTGTCCATAGATGGCAAGTGTCCGAATTTACATTCAGATATGATTTCTTAAGCTATGGAGAAACTGATTTCGATAATATTGCAACTTATAAATGTACCTTTTAGCCTTCATTTGTGCGATATTGATTTCATGTTCATCATCAGCATCTTCATCGTTCTTTTTGTTTTTGGCCTTCTTCTCTTCTTTCCTAACCAGTTTAGCAATCATCTTTTCGTGTTCAGACAATACTGATACTTGGCAGAGGTACTGAGGCATTTTGCTTTCAGGTAATGTTGCTGCAACTAAAAACAAGGATTTTGAATGTATTTCATAATAATTACATATATTTCTGAACACACTATATGTATAGTGTGTTAAGAAAGTTCATCGCCAATAGTAAAATATGTCTGGCGGCGGCGGTCAGCACTCTTTATAGCATACTCGATACTTCAGTTATAACTTAACGTTGGGATAATATCTTGTATAGAAGGCCTCTATAACTGATTAAACACTCAATCGATTTCATGTGGTTGAAAAACCATCAGAATACTAGGTACTTGATGTATAATTACTAGTATGGGCATTAATGCAATTCCAGGTATTGCATATGTTTATGTTGTTGTATAACTAGTTAGATTAGGTTAGATTGTGACCAGAACCAGTGCATTCTGGTTGAAAAGTCATGTGATTTAAAGGAATTTAATATCTGCGTATCATGTTAACTCTTAGATTAATATTTACTTGGATGGAACTCACTTGGATGGAAGCTTTGAAAGTTTTTTATTAGTAGAATCATAACAATCTTTAAATTCTTTAAAATAACTAGAAAGTTAAGTTTCGAGAAACACACTAAGCACTGATTAAAAATTAAACATTAATTTCATTTTTCTTGAAATTGTGTACATACGTTCTGATAATGAAGGACCTGGTGGTGGAGCTTTCAAACTATCAATAATTTCCTGCCTATGTTCCAGTATCTCTTGTATAAACTCGAACTTGTCGAAGCCAAGCAGCTCAAAGAGATCGTTTTGCATTTCATCATTGGTCTTGGTTGAATTCAAGAATGTTATCACAGATTGTAAGATATCCCCACTCGATATACCTGATGTGTGCTCATATAACTCCTTGACTTTAGTTTCTAGCCAGGCTTTCCCAAACTGGAAGAAACCAGAAAATATTTCACATCACATCAACAGCCTTTAATATTCCACTGCTGGACATGGACCTCTTCTTAGGAAGAATGAAGGAAGGAAGAAAAAAGAAGGAAGAAATATTTACTGAATGTAAAATTTACATTACTCATTTTCATTAGTTACTAGTAGTAGTATAGTTTATTATTGCCGTATATGTGGTTATATTTTTTTTAAATTCCTCTTTATACTGAAATAACATAACAAAGTGAAACATCATTTATAGCATTAATTGACTATGCTATGTATATGTTTGTTAGTAATAACTGTAATAAGTCATGATGATACTAAAACAAAAGGGCTATAACCTACCTGTAAATGTGTGTGAGTGAGAGAGAGAGAGAGATAAAAAAAAAAATACAACTCCCACATTAGGAATACATTCCTGTGTCACTGCAGACTTTACAAACATATGTGAAACGGACACAAAGAACACCCAGACTCAGGACAACAATTTGTGGATTGTGATCCACAAATTCTTGTACACTAAGTGTGGTTCCATGTGGGGTTTGAACCCACCTTACTCAGCGTAGTAGGAAGCAGCAAGGTGACCGCTTAAACCACTACACCATTGGTGAAGTTTAATATTATTATCTCACTTCAATAATGTAAAATTACTACTTTTTACTTACTCTGGATTCTACAACAGGCTTAGATTTTATTACAGCACTGTCCTTAGGAGCACTTTGTGTATATTTCATAGAGAAATCATTAACAAACATACTAGTTGTTGCAGGTTTACTTGTCAACTTAGCCAGCGGTTTCTTGGCAGGTTTATATGGAATATAATGACATTGAATGTGGTCACCCCATAGCTTTACATTCTCTTTATTTTCAACCTCTTCTGTTTTAATGTACTCTTTTGTCTCTTCATTTAGTTGTTCAGAAATTTTAGTTACTATCTGCACAAAGAACAGGAACATTATCTTTTTAAAAAATAATGGGTTTTGGTTACGTAAGTAGTTATGCGTATAAATCATCAATTAGAATGCAGCTCTATAGCTTAAAGTAATTTTAATAAAAACCAATTATTATTTATCCCAGGTGCCTCATGTAGTCCTTCCATCTATTTATATTTTATATAACATCAACTATTTTAAAAGTACAGACATGGTCCAAAGGGAGGGTGGCACAGATTACAGGGGACATGACCCCCTCAAGTATGAATTACACCATTAGTGATTACCTCCAAAATTTCAGGCAGACACTAAACATTTATATAATAATAATAATATTTTCAGACATCTGACACAACCTCATTTAGTTACAATCTCTGCTTAAGAATTTATACTATGAAAACTAGGTTGACTATTAGAATATTTGTATACTTTTTTTTTGTAAATACATACATATTATACATAGATAACACCCAAACTCTGAAACAAATCTATGTGGATCATACAAACATTTGGTCCAACCTGGGAATCGAATCCGAGACCTGAGCCCAGCAGTCGTATACAATTCAATTAAAAATTTCACATACTAACCTGGCAAATCTTATTAGCTGTAGCTGCAACAACAGTTCCAAATGTCTGTCTAAGCTGAGATAAATTCTTTAACATAACAATATCTTGATCTAAGAACATCCTAAGTGTGAGTACCGCAGCATCTTCTATGATGTCATCTGGCTGATCTCCAGTAAGGAGTTTAGATGCATTTTTCAATTCATCAAAGAGTTTTAACAATTCAGCAGAATTTGGCTCATTTTGTTTTACATAATTATATATGTCTGAGAATGATTTGAATCTAAAAATAGAATGATTTGTCAATAATATCATAATGTAAATAAGTAGTTAAAAAAAATACATATAGTCGAACATAGAACCTCCTCCTTTTTGAAGTTGGTAAAAAATATTTAAAACAAACCAATTTCGTTTTTTTAATTATCAATAATTGGCAAATATTATTGTATAATTGTCTTAACTCACAAAGGCAGGTTTGAATTAATTGTGTGTGTTTTTACACGCAGTTGCTGTGTGCGTAAGTTTCAGCTTATATAATTTGTGCGGTTACTAACTACAACTAGACTACACAGATGTGCATCTTTACACATCATAACCACTTCTTTAGTTCATCCACTTTCGTGAGATAATACAACTGTTTATTATTGATGTTATTTTAATAATAATAACGTTACACATCTTACACACAGCCACCTGATGTGAAACTGGGTAGTAAATATTTCTAAATACATTTATATATATTATAGATAAAATACACAAAGACAGACCTTATGATCATGCTCATCATACAATCATCGAGGCCTGTCTGTAATTATTATATTTTAAGCTTTGTGCAGTTTTTAAATTTGCTCACAACTTAATCCTATTAGAAATTAAGTACTGTGGAATTTTATTTACCTTTGTACGTGTATCTTTTTTATTTGTATTGGTTTCAAAGGGTCCACAATTGGTTTGAGGCATCGTGGCTTATCTAGTTGCGTATGGGCTCTGAGAGCCCTAGTAATACGTGGTAACTCAATCATCGTGAGCCTCTGGATGAACACCTATAATCCTATAAAAACAATACTATAACACATGCAAGAGCATCGCATTTTATTGCTTAATATTATGAAAATACTGTGAAACTCAATGCACCTCTGTAGGATAACACGTAACTTGAAATGAAATATTTAAACTTAAATATTTTACACAATATAAGCCGGTAAAAAATTTATTTTTTACCGGAGTTTATTAAATTTATATTTTACATATATTTTAATAATTATTTTTTTATCGAACTCAATAATAATAGACACGTAAAATGTCAATATTGACATTGACAGTTATTGTCAATACTAGCTATAATGGGAAAAACAACACATAGACAGTGCACAAACCATAGAGACGGCACACTAAGGCCCTGTCCGCACAACGATATTTTACGGCGCGTTTTATTTCGTAAAATTCTATGACACATGGGATCCATATAGGACTATCTGCAGTGGCGGTAAAAAAATCGCGCAAATAAAATCTGTGATTTGATACAAAATAAAAGTGAGAATTTTGCGAAAAAATAAACGCGCGGTAAAATATCGCTGTGCGGACGGGGCCTAAAGTATATGATTTTTCAAAAGTTTATCTGCCTCTTTCTCACGCAAGCCTCTTTAGCAAACACTAAATTATAATGTGGTAGCCTAGCTGATATAGTGTATATTAGCTACTACATTATAATTTAGTGTTTGATGTAGTATGAAGACGATGTGTATTAGTCTATTATCGTTTAAATGTTTAGTCAATTTACATGAATCTAAGATACATGAAAAGATTAAAATCCAGAACTACAGGACTTTTAATAATATCTAATTAAACAAACAAGCGACTTACCTGTTGCGAAATTGTTTGCAAATTGATAGTTCGTTTTTGAAAAAAATGCTATTGGGTGTCATAATAAAATGGAAGTAGAAACCTAGACTCATAGACCATTCTTTTTTAAAGCTTTGATTAATTTTAAATGTTAACTTAGGTTAGAATGAGGAATTTTGCATGAAAATACAGTTATTTCTCAAAAAACCCCGGTCAGGTACGAGTCGAACTCGTGCGCCGAGGGTTCCGTACCTACCCAGATTTTACGTAGAATTTCGAGAAAATTTGTAAGTACCAAAATTTATCTTAATTTTTAACTTTAATATTTTTTATTAAAAATAAATAAAGTTGAAAATTAAGGTAAATTTTGGTACTTACAAGTTTTCGCGAAAAGCGAAATTTGCCAATATCTTTTTATCGTGTTGACTCAGAACCTTGATTTTTATACACCTAATAGGGACCATAGACCTCAGTATCTGGTATAAATTTCAATTTGCTAGGTCTCCCGGTTCCTGAGAAAATCGGTGGTGACACACGGACAGACGGACAATAAAGTGATCTTATAAGGGTTCCTTTTTTACCTTTTGAGGTACGCAACCCTAAAAATGTAGTTTAAATGTAACTACACAAATATTCTTACAAACTACATTGCATTTTTTTAAAATAATTTATTAAGGGCTGGTGGTGATAACGCAGCCTCAACGAAAACCGGCGTCAATCAATTACTTTTCATCGAGTGATTTAGGTTGACAGTCATTCATCATAGGATGAGCCGTCTGTTTGTTTGTTCCCCCTGTACTAAACAACATCAGCTTCATAGCGGAGAGCCTGGGCACATTGGGATAATAGGGGCCCCTACGACCTTGACTGACTAGTATTCTTGTTAGAATAGCCAAAAAGGTATTATAATCAGCCATTTTCGCTGGATTTTTCTAAATAAATTTGGTTTTCGGTAGTAAATATCGATTATCGAATTAGGTAGGTAGGTAGGAATTAGGGCACGTGCCCAGAGTGCCTAGTGCGAATGAGGAGCCTGTTCATAGATGAGGTAACGCTTCGGTTTAATAAGAACACTAAAGTTTTTAAAATCTGTTTAGGGTTTAAGCCGTAACAACTTAACAGAGTTATTTTAACATTTACAATATTAATAACCTGTACAGTTAATAAAATCGTTGCAGCATGACTATTCTAAAAATTAGTACAATTTTCCATACCTTCTGAAACCGAAATCATAGCGTTCTGTATGTTTTTGTCACTAACACCATCTTCTGTTCTAATTGTTAATGTTAAGTTTTTCGAACGCCTAGTTCATGTTTTTTTTTAATATAAGAGGGGGGGAAACGAGCAGACGTATCACCTGATGACTGACTGAGAGTGACTGCCGTCGCACATGAACATCTGCTACTCAGGAGGCAAAAAATGTCTTGAAAAGCGCACTGTGGTGGAGTGCCAGTTATCCAAGTGGTGGGAATGAATTTTTTTTTAGAGAATGCACAGTGAAGCTCCATCTCTTCGTAACACCAAGGGATCGAGCCGGTAGAAGATATTTTGGCTATCGACGATTCCAGTCTCTCTCTCTTAGTTCGATACGGTCCAGAGGGAGAAACCGATATCCAATCCCATCATTTTCGATTTAAGATTGAATATAGCCGAGGTTTGTGATTTGGGAGTTATTGTAGATAGCAAATTAAATTTTATTTCTCATATAGATAAAACAGTAAACAAGGCTTATAGCCAATTGGGCTTCAACTTGAGGGCTAGAAAACCGTTTAAAAATGCGTTAACTTATAAGTTATTCTACAACGTTTATGTGCGAAGTAGATTGGAATTCACTTATGTAGTCTGGTAACCTTATTACTAAATTCACATCGATAAAATTGAAAGGAATCAGCGTAAATTTGTAAAAGCTCTCAATTGCCGCAATACGTGAAGATTAAGAAACGTCCGTCAAATACCATAAAGTAATGTTATTAAAACATCGAAGGGACTATGTGATGTTACTTTCCTATATAAAATATTAAATAACTATGTAGATTCCTCTTTATTGAAACAAGAAATTAATTTTTCAATTCCTTCTAGACGAGAAATAAGCTGTCGTAAAAAGATATGATTGTTAGCTCCCCTGGCAACTACCTGTTACGCAAGTAATCATTTCATTAGACGAGCCTGCCGTTTGTATGATGATGCGCTGTGTGAAGTTGATATTTCTTATCTATCTCTTAGCTCCTTTAAGAAACGGTAAGAAACAGTCGTCATTGCCTCAAAAACTAATCTTGATTCTTTTAAGTCTTTTCTAAATTATATTTTTTAATTAATATCTTTGTTGTGTTAATAAAATTCTGAATGCTCTCACCTCTAACAAAAATGTTGAAATTGTATTAATATGATCTAGATTGTTATAGTATACAAACTCGATCTAGATGTTGTATTAATTTAGGGAACTGTTAGATACAAATATGTTTAGTCTTAACATGTAAATAACTGTTTGTTCCTTAAAAAAAAAACTACTCGCGCCACTAGCCACTTGCATACTTTGCCTTAGGGACAATCCGCCACTGCTAAGTTATAATCTAGTGATCGAACAAAGACCTTTGCTCTTTACGTAGAGTATTTGTGGAGGAACGGGTGTTGTGTTTCTCCAACACAAAAGGAGGATCCGCGGACCAGGCGAGTTGAATATACCTTTCGAACTGCGGCTCACGGTTCATGTTGGGAAATTCTTGCCTATATGTGTATAATCTAAGACATATATATCTAAGGTTCTTGCATAATATACACTAAGCGATTATTCGAATCGAATAATTGCTTAGTGTATGTTTTTCGTGTACATGGAAGTCACCATAAATTTATTAAAAGAGTTTTTAAGTTACAACATTTTTATTTTATTTTATTATATTTTTATGATCATAATGCTTACAACTATGGCTTACCTACTTATAAATGTTGTTTAAAATATATAGCTTACGACTCGTATAGCCAATGTTGTTTCTATTAAACAACGCTTTAAGTAACAGCCATGTTAGTATCTAAATACGATAACATACGTTCTGGTGTGTTTTTATTTTACCTTACAGTGAATAGTATTTTCGACCGCCATTTTTGAAACATAATACATACTTAAATGATTGATGATAATTATCAACTAGTAGGCGTTTTTAATAAAAATACTAATTTCTTTCTTTTTAATATGTTTCTAGATATGATGACATAAAAATGTCTTGCTCTGATTTGTCTAAAGTTTGAAGTCCAGAGATATGAATGAATAGTGCTTACGTAATTCATTTGAAAAGGTGATCTTATAATATTTTGTTTTGCATACAGAAAGAACACTGTTTGTTAATGTGACTATGTTTCAAAAAAGGTACGTTATACTTACATACTAGGTAATCCCCCTAGTGAGACTGGCAACAATAACGAAGTGCAGATTCCGTACTTTTATTAATAGCGGTCTCCATACATGATATGAACATGTTTGTAGGGAAAACCGATGTTAATAACTGTCGCACGCTATATTTCATCCTATGTACTTAGTACTGGCCAATTTTCCAATACTATCATTCTATAGTTGTAGATACACTACTACACTTGGTCGTCATACACAAACCATGTAGTAAAATTTCGTTGCAACTGTGCAGTACTGATTACAGCAAACGCGGCGTTTCTGTGCACTTTGAGGTGATTATAAAATGCGAAAACACCTAGTCACACGGTGCATGTTAGCCGACCAAATGCAATCGTGTCCTGATTATATGATTAATATAACTAATAAGTGGCTATTTGAAACATCTAATTACCTAGTGTGATTTTTTTACAATTTCTAACTACAAAGCTGTTTACATACATTAATTAATACACACACAGTAAAAAGATGTATTATTTGTTGTTAAATAGGATAGATTACATATTTCTTTAAAAATATTGGCCAGTTACGATTACAATATATGTAAAAACGCAAGATAGCACAAGTCCTTAACATACTCTAGTTTAGATTTACTTAAACAAACAACAATTCGAATAAGTACAAATTTCGTTTCAAAGATCACGGATATAGATTACAGCTATAAAAGCGTTAAAACATAGTAATTAAATAATTTACTAAACCGCTGCAGTGCTAACCTGGGCCCAATACGCGCTATTCTATCAAACGGTAGTTACATCTCATAATTTGCATTTAACATGGAACTTTGAATACAGAAATCAGCCCAAAAGTACAGTCCATATCAATAATGGACTAAAGTATTTATAAATTGTAAATAACTATTATCATAACCTCTATAAAATAGTTAGAATAAGCAGCTAAACATGTTTGTATAGATAGACAGTAGATTTTATCAAAGGTCAACAACTTGGAAGTTAAAAAAAGTACAAAAAGAAATGACCCCAAAATAAATTTTCACGAAATTTGGTCCAAATGGAAAAAAATACCATCATTTATAAGAAACAGCCTATTTTCGAAAAAGTAAGTAAGATATATTCAAGGTTACTGTATTTTTTGATAAGTCTTATCTAATACCAAATATTAATTTCTGTGGTAAAATTTTAACAAAGAAAGATCATCTAAAAATACTATATTTCAATACTCAGAGCATTTTGAGAATGATATATATAAAAGAAATCATGTCGTAAGACGCGTGATTTCAAGATTTACAAAAGTATTCATAGGATAAACAGTGTTGATATTTAGGAGGCAAAACATCGGATATATTTATTGTGATATTTTCCACAGAGAATTTAATAACAACACTAGTTAATATCTAGAGAAAAACCAAAAGTTGTTTCAAAGTTCTTTTGTTGATGTTAAATCGGCAGCTGCGGATGTTAAGTTATCTGTAAAAAACATTTTACGATATTAAATAAAGTATAAACTTCCAAAATGAAAAAATAAGCTGCTGATGTGTATTCACTACAGACATAATCATCATCAATATAAATTGACAATTTCAATGAAATGACTGGCATTGGCATGGCATTTAAACCCTTTAAAAAAGAAATATGTTTACTATTCACTGCTTTAGGTAACTGATCGCTGCACCGACGAAGAAGTGATCCTAATACCTACTTTTTACTTACTGTTATTCATACCTTGGTCTTGATCCTATTAACAGTGGTTTACAGACCTAGAAAACATTTCAAAAATGTTAATAACAATACCAGAATATCTTTTTTTTATTAGACAAAATCACACAATGTACAGTTCATTTCCATGAATATTAAAAGTGCATTTATAAAAAGTTATATTTGAACGTACAAAACAACACATTATCGTTCTGTAGACATTTAAATTAAATATTTTTTCAACAGTGTGACATGTCTTGAAAAAGTTAAACATGTGGATGTACATTTCTGCAATGACACAATGATTACTGAGTTCTGATTCATGGCGGGAGTTTGTACGAGTATATACCGCACTATCACAAATGACACAAAGCATCAAAAGCGTCAATGAGCAACTATATAAGTATTTTAAGCTGTACTATCGTTGTATATAAATATATTATCTTTTTAAGCATCTTAAATGATCCCAATCCCCATTTAATGACACGTTATTAAATATTATGGATCCCTAGGGATATAATAGTAAGTTATATTTTATTAAAAGCATAAACTAAACGGGGGATAACCTGGATCAAGCATTGCATTCTTGGATGAAAGTAGAATAACTTTTTATATCAAGCAATTTATAGGATCTAGTAACTAGATTTCATTATTTTTTTGGTATCTTTTATTAATATACAAAGTATACAATTAAGGAGCATCCCAGACACAAGAGTAAACATATTTGCAAAATAAAGCTGATTTCACACTCAAGTTAATATTCACATCAGCAAAATGCAAATTATAACACAAATGTAACATGTTTGGTGTATAATTTGTTTCGTTTCTGAACATAAAAATAATTTACAGTGATTATTTTACTTATGTGTATGTAAAACAATGTAAAAAAGTAAAATGTAAGTTAGTGCTCTAAATTGACACGCGACTGAGGAATAATGGTTTGAATAATTGTTGCTGTATGTACTGATGTGAACCCAAACTTAGTATGAGATAGAAGAAGTTCAAATCGCATGAAACATTCTTCGATAGAGACAGATATACGAAGTGACTATAGAACATAAAAAGCCAACACTTATCATCAACAACGACAAACGATACTGTCTGCCTACTTACCAATATAGGCTTAGTATTATGTAATAAAATTAACAAAATACTGTTTTTATACTAGTATTCATTAATATTATAACAAGTAACTTCTAAATTAAACTTCGATTACCGAAACTTGTTCACACAAAGTTGGCTGAAAATATGGAAAAAATTATGATATGATTAGTCTAAAAATTACCACGTGTTATAGAAAGAAACCCTATCAAAATGTGTAGGATTGCTGTACGAAATTGGCTCTGAATCGTTCAATTTCTTGTGAAAATTTTCCGTAAAAGTAAGTACCAAAATATACTGAAGTGTTTCTATAATCTGAGACAATGTAATTGGTAAAACAAAAATACCACTCGCTTAATTGAGTCGCTAACTTGAAATTCGGATAAATCTAATTATGAAAATTTTCAAGATTTTGGTATCAAAAGAAAGAGTAAAAAAACAAGTTTTGAAACAATTTTATCAGTTTAAATTTATATTTATATTAATTAAAATTTGAATCCGCAAGGTTTTTGAAAAAAAATCTTTAAACAAAATATTTTATCAAAAACATATAGATCCACATGAGACAGTTTTTTTCAATTGTAGTTAAGTCCATCCGAGCCAATCAGCGAATTGCTTTTGTTCAACTTGTCCATCAATTGACGTAAACTCTGCGACGACAGCACAGTACTCTCTCGCTTTTTATTGCTTATTTTTAAAAACTAGCAAGTTCGAATTGATAGTTCCTATACAACTGTGACACCAAACAAAGCCCGCAAACAGCCGGGCCTCAATTCTGCTATTTTATGTTAACACCAAGAAACTGTAATTCCTGACATCGGTCAAAATAACAGTATTCTACTAACATAAATTCACAGTGTCAATAGACTGTCGATATAGTAATATAGGTCATCAACGGTGATATCAACAACATTGCCATACCTGGCAAATTAAATATATCATTTTCTTACAAATTTAAAATGTACCGTTTACCAAACTGTTACAAAAACATGGACGACATTTGTATCAGTGACAAGTCATCGAAAGGCCATTGGTCTTAAATAGTTAGTAGAATAGGAAAAGTGCAAAACTATTCCGACGACATTCTATCGACAGTCTATTAATACAATATTAAAATAGCAGAATTGAGGCCCTAAAATAAAGTAGAGGAAGAAAGAAAGAGGAACTACCTATCATGCGTCGTTGGAAGTCCTAAGTTGGCACTAGTGTTGCGCTAATCATTACCGATGTATCGATTATTAATACTTTGTTGTTTTACTGTTACATAATAATTTGGATGTAAAAAACATGTATAAATTCAGTATTATTACATATTACATGAACTGTCCGAACATATTTGTGTAGGTATACAGGAACAAAATGTTAAATGTTAAAATATTAGTGCCTTGTGGAGTTAGCCGTTTGGTTATGTTTTGTAATTTTATTTTTTGGAGTTAGATCTTAAGAATCGATTTTCATATAAGGCGCTCGGTATGAAATATATCATCATCATCAACAGCCTTTACTAATCCACTGCTGGACATAGGCCGTGGGAGTCGTAAAAGTCGACTAAGGGCGACTACGCAGGACAACAACACTGCAAAGAAAGCAAACTTGAGACAAACCCTATACCAACCCATCTGGCCAGCGTGGCATAGTAGGCCAAAACCTACCTTCCAAGGAGAGGCCTATGTCCAACAGTGGACTACTAAATTAAAATAGAATTGTGTGAAATCCGATTATAATCGTTTAGAAATTTTAATCCAGAGAGATAAAGAAGATCATTCAGAACAAATATTAATTTTCTTTAAAATATTTAAAGGTTTTGATTTTTGTAAAGAAATACTCTTTGTTAAATATAATTAAATTTCATCATTTGGTTCGTATTTTTATAATTTATTAAGTTAGGTATCACAAATTTTACAGTCGAAAGTATTCCGTGATTTCGCCACTACCACATCCCTAGTTATATTCGTATTTTTTTAAATCTAACTAGATTCAGATCTGTTAAATCAAAGTCCTATAAATCCACACTGAGTTTTTTCAAAGATAGATAAATCGCATTACATTGTATCAAATGAAGGTAAATCCAATATAAATATTAATTTATCAAAACTATGGATGGTTTTCATAATGAATTTGCTGAACAGAAAAGTTTTCTTCAATACTCTTGTCACAATAATAAAGTACTGACTTTTAAAATCATCGAATCAAGATTATTATCACTTTTTCTTAGATATCTCCTAAGAAGGTAGAGTGGATTTATCCGAGTTTGAAGTTAAGCGACACAATTGAAAGCTATTAACGATACAGACCATAGTTAAAACACTGGGTACATTTAAAGAACCCGACATTATAATATTTTCAAGAAACTGTTAGAAGGTAAACATAACAATTAGAACTTCAGTAGAAAAGGTCTGTTACGTTAAGCCGGCTTTAGATTATCCATTTTGTATTGTGCTAAGTAAGCCGAGGCCATATTTCGAATTATGTAAAGGCCCTGTTAGTGTTCTAATTTACTGCTGTTGTATATGTATTACTATCCAGTTCATTTGGTTAACTTATAGTTAGAATAAAACATTTTTAAGATTTAGTTCCTCAAATGGATAAAAACCCTTAAAGTATCACTGGTTGACCGGCAGCGCAATCAAATGATATGGCCATTTCAGTCCTATATTTTAATATTTCGAAGGTAAGTCAATATAGTCAAACTTAACTTACCGTTGACCTAGAATTATAAAAATTTACAAGAGAAATGGTTTTTGCAGCCAAAGACAATAAAATATTTCTAGGGTCGTTAATCTATATATATACATACGAGTATATAAGAGATTTCCACGTATATAGTCACTCATCACGATATCTCTGGAACCATTAGAGCTAAAGACTTGAAATTTGGTAGAGATATTCTTTTCACCGAGTAGAGGTCAGCTAAGAACGGATTTTAAGAAATTCTAATTTTTTTTTTAAATAATGTAAATAGCAAAACAACGTTTGCAGGGTCAGCTAGTTTGTAATAATATCACAAAAACTGTTTTTTATTATTACAAATATTCACGTTTGGTACTTGGCTTGTCTGTGGCGTGTGTAAATGCACGTGAGAACGTTTATAAAAGGCAAAAGTTCAAGTCTACCACTCAGATCGATCTCAGTCAATTTCGGATTCGTTGAGTCCGACTCAACTAGTTTGTATGGAAAACTCGATGAAAGCACGTGAGACTATTGCACTGACACTAATCTTTCAAACTTAAGATTTCAATCAGTCATATGACGTAAGTAAGCTAACGTAATACTACCTCTACGATCTCTACACTAGAACACTAGAAAGATCCTGGTTTCCGAGTCCTTGGATGCCTTCAAAATGTTTATATTTGGGACTTATTTTCAGGTTAAAAATGTTAAAAATATATTTACAGAGAGTACAATACAGAGAGAGTTGTTTTTAGTTATATCGAACTGTATCTCTAATTCCAGCACTCCGCAAAATGAATAATCTAAAGCGCATGAGTTTGGTGTCATGAGGTACATATCTTATTATCGGTTGAGAGTTCAGAATGGACTTCAGGCTTCAAATGTCCTTTTCCTACTATCTCCAAAATAATAAATATTTTTCAATAACATAAAACAACCAATTTCGTGCAAGTGTGCTCATTTAAGGCCATAGCTCATTACACTCACCCGGCACCCGACCAGCACCACCTCGACTCGCTGTTCACTCGTTGTCGACGGGTCGTTTACCCATGGTACTTCATACAAAAAATACTAACCGCTCGAGGCGAGGTGGTGCTTGTCGGGTGCTGGGTGGCTGTAATGAGCTATGACCCTTAAATTAAGCTTTAACTTACCAATGATTAGAGCCAGGATTATGATGCCAATGACAGCTGCAATTATCATCATCTGCAAACATCAATATACAAGCATGCAATTATGTTGTTTTTTTGTTTAATTTATTTCATACAAACGATATAGGTACAACATAACATTATTGTTTTTGTTCTTTAAAGCCTCTAATCTTTATTATTAATTATTAGTATCTATATACCATATAGGTATAATACCTGTTACCAATAGAGCCTTTCTCTTGTATGTAAGTTTTACTCGTCAATTTGAATGGATGGATTAATGGATTAAAATAGTGTCATAAATTCAAGAACAATAACGAACAAATAAAAATACGATATAGCATTTAAGTTTAAGGCCTGAAGGGGATGGTATTTCAAAGTGTATTTTAGTTTTAATCTTGAACTAAAGTTGAAAATATCATGGTGCAAAACTTAGATTTGTAATTTGTTATAGTTTGAGGAAGATACTAGTGAACCTACGAGACATTTGTTACCTTTAGATTTTGGAGCCAAAATTTGCTTTTCAGTTTACCGGCCTGTTGTTCGAACTGTGATGCTCCCTGCTGGAGTGCATCTGGAACATGTTCATTTTGGATGAAACAGATAAATAGGATTTTCTTTTACTTTACGGATATCAAACTCATTGTAGTTTTCTTTTAAAAAAATCATACACACGATAAAAGAAGACGAAACTATACACCGCAGAAGTGAAAATGTTGAGGTGGTCTGGGGGAGTAACGAAAATGGACAAGTTCCGCAACGAATATATCCGTGGCACTTTTCAGGAGGCTTCAATAGAGGGCAAGTTAACGGAAGGGAGATTTAGGTGGTACGGACATGTCATGAGAAGGTCAGAGCAGTATGTCGTGAGGACGGCTCTAAGCCTACCAGAAGGCAGAAGAGGCCGAGAACGACGTCCTTGGACATGTTGGACCAGTATGACGAAGCTTCTGAAGAAGGAGAATTTACTCGTTCCGACAACCCTGGACAGACTATCTTGGAGCCGTGAAATAAGGAGCGTTGACCCCACCTAAAGTGGGAAAAGGCTATGAAGAAGAAGACACACGATAAGAGAAGATTTATTGAAAAGAAAAGGCATTCCTATTTTCTGAACTGAATATTGCGTTCAGAAAAAAGTTATTCAACATTTAAAAATGCATATTAGCTTAATAAAGCAGCATGAGCTTAATAAAGCTCAAATGCAATTGAATGCAGGCATGAATTTTCGACTTCTCTCTGTCTTTTATATTTAAAAGTTACAAATATAAAGAAGTCGTCTTTCTAGAATCACATTTAATTTCCTCCTCATTATTTATTCATTTTATACCAAGTCGGGGGTTTTTTGAGGTTCATGCATTTTGTAAAATTCAAAAAGTCAACCAAATACTATTAATATATTATTAGTACATGCTTAAAAGCTACTCCGATTTGTAATTATCCTTTTAAAATGTTAATGTCCAAACAAAAAATAAATGAACAGTCTATGTTTGAAGGCATAGTAAATACCTAAAGTCTAATCGATTTTCCGTGTGTTGTCAGCGTCATGTCGGCGGTAAGTAATACTGTTAACTTTATTAAGTTGGATAGCATAGTTCCTGTATTAATTGGGCCGAGAGAGTGTCAGCTGGTACCAATGTAGGTCATATAATATGTTAACATGGTGCTATAAGATTTACATTTGGCTTACAACAGGCGCTCGACATTTCTTTTAGATTTCAAATAAAAAAATTAGAATCGACACAGCTTAGTTCGTCTCGTCATGTGATTTGTTTATGCCGATTTTTACTTTACTGACTTGCGTTTCTTTAAATGCATTTTAGTAATGGAAGCAGGGAGGGGAACAAACTTGAGTTCGATCGGAGATAATACATACAGAGTGCTAATATACAACAGCTAGGTAGACTCCAGGGTAAAGAGTTAGAGCTCCTTAACGTACCCTCACGAGTGTCTACGAACTAGTCCAAATGGATCTTAATGTACAATGGTCAAATTAGTTAATGTAAGTTTGTCTATCACGTTATATAACTAGCAGTTCGTCGGAATCCCACTTGCAAAGATTTCTTCACATTAATTTTTCACTGACACCTTTTAGCGTCAACACACATTCTATTGATGAAATTTCTAAATAAAGCCGATACACATACAAAAACAGATTACACATATTTTTTGCAGAATAAAAAGGGAAAATTTACGATAAACTTAAGCTCTGTCTCAAAACCTGCGAACCTATACCTAGTTTCGACTCGTTTTTAAGAAAACATAAAACCTATCCTATATATTGCCTCACCTGCTCTGTCGTCAAGCTCTGAGAGTTTCTGATCACGTTCCAACACTTTCTCCACGTTCGTTTTCATTATATCCACCACCTGTAACATTTTTGGCAATTATTAGCCTTATAATATTTTTCGCACTAACAACCTGGCAATGCCGTATACCATAGAAATAGGAATTGATAAGAAGAATTGGACACCTAACAAGATAGATTCGATTATATTTTGAAATTTAATTGTATGGCCTAAATTCTTTAAATAAGGAAACAAAGTGGTGGTTGGTTGTTAGTCCTTTACATCCAACACTTAGTGTGAGATACCTAAACTAAGTAGCAACATCGATATAGAACGATGCAAGTAGTTTTGCTATTATTTGATAGATGAAAAAAAGTGAATAGCAATAGGATATCAGCTAACCCCTTCTCATTTTCAAGAGTCATTTTACGCGCGATATTACGTAAGCAAGCGCCAAGCGTTCGAAAGTGACGTCATAGTATGTACTTGATAAAGTGTTCGCACGTGTATCCAGCGATGGAAACTTTAATCTCAGAGCATGTGAAAGGAATTGGGCGCCTTGGAGATGGTAATATGAGAATGATAATATATATTGCAATTACAAGGTATAAATAGGTACGACGAGAATATAAATTGAGTTAGGAATATGAGGGAATTTACATTTCATTACGAAATGTATCGGATTTGTAGTTTGTTGCACAATCGTGATTTGTTTCGTTCGGAAAACTCAGATGAGTTACAAAAACTATCAATGCAATGTAGATTTCCTGGCAGTCCGTCAGTCAGTTTTGAAAAAACTTCTTCTAAACATCGACATAAGTATTCTAAAGACAATACGCTTTCGTGGTCAATAGGTAGACATTTGTTTGCAGTGCAAACAATTTTCTTCAAGCATTGATATACCTATCATATCATTGATAACCTCTTTCCATCACACAAGCTGTACGCATAGTTATACCTTTTAAATTTAAATTCTGAACGATTATGTTAATAAAAGTCTACAATATCACAGCAATTTTTGGAATTTGGTGCTTATAAAGGACGAACCCCTTGCAAAGGTTACTCTGTAAAGGGTGTGGCAATTTCAAGATAAACTTGCGGCTTTTGTTGGGCTTTTCCGAAATAAGGTTAGGAACAGGACACGTCACCTTTCACAGGGAATTTTTCTACGTAATATTTCGTATTCGTATATGTTTATAATTTCTCTGATGTTTTATTACTAGTATTGTGCTAATGGCATGCTTAATTAGTAGATGGTATTATATATTTATTAATTCGAGTAATTAATTATTTACATATTTTTAATTTTTTTAATTTATATTTAATCACTATTACTTAAGTGTTTACAAAGATTCAGCGCTGTTAGTGGTAATGACCGAGCGCGATGATTTGCTGATGGGCGGTGATTAGAAAGTTAAAATCTGTTTTTAGAAATATGTAAGTTTCTTGTTAGGAATTAACCAAGTGAAGTGAGAATTAGCTCACGAAGCTGGTTCAGTATTTTAAATCTAAGTTCACAACACTAGTTAAGTTCACAATTGTAGCACTATCTATTTAAAAAAAAAAGCCCTATGTGGGATATTTTCCCTATTCTATTTTCCCAAAGTGGGCATTTTATGGAGAGCAATAAAAATGCATTTATACACTTAAAAAAAAACTTTCTAATTCTTCTCTACTTAATTATAATATTAACTTAAAATTAGGCTGGGGTGGGGCATGATAAGCACAAGTATGAAGGAGCCATGCCCTTAATTTTTTTTTTAGTAATATTTTCTCAGACTATTTAAAAAAGTTGTTGAGCCATAAAGCAATACACATCTCCATCGTGAGAATTGGAAAGTAGAATTTTACTCACACAATTAAACCGAATATATTAAATTTGCCATATTTAAAAAAGAACTATTTCTACGAAACAATGTATTTTCGTGTAAATGTGCTCGCGTTGTTAAGAACTCTGTTATTTCAAAAGTGATTTTTAGACATTTATTGGAAATTCTATTTGAAGTAAGAAAAGGCCCAAGTCTTGAGTTAAATTGTAAATTAAATATTTATCTGTACCAACGCTTTAAAAGATAAGCTCTCTTCTTTTGTATTTCTCTAAGGGGATGCCTCATTTGTCAGCCAAGTAATTATTAAAATATTCGCGCAAAAGCCTGTATATTCTACAACACCTACTTACTAACTACATATAAAACGTAGGTACTATTGTTACGTAGATAGATATTTCTATTTGCACGCCATCTTATAAAGTTTATTACCTATTTGGTATTTGGTCTTAGCTTAAACTGTTCTTCCATTCAAAAACCTTTTTTTTCACGTGTGGAAACCCTCTCGGGCCCTCACCCACCAAGAGCGGCGTGTCGGAATTGAACTGAAAAACCACACGATGTGCCATTTTGCGCCTAAAATAGTAGGGATGCGTGAACAGCTGTTATTAAGACATCCGGACCCCTCCTGGCGCCTGCAACAGCGTGGGCTATCTAACACCTTCGTGTAATATCTCTAATTTAAGCCGCGTCGCGGATGACCCGTTAATTCGATCTTTTGATCTTCCAAATACTGAGCTGTTTCGGACGATGTATGGCAGCTAGTATTGTCAGAATGAAGAAGGATTTTGCGTTATCGGTTATTTTTTCTTATTTCTTCAAAGACTTCTGGCAAATAAATGTTCGTTTAGCATTCAGATTTAACCGTTCTAGTGGCACTGTAGCCACATGTGCAAGTATAGCAAAAAACCGACCATTTGCTTCAAAGTGTTTTGAACGAATGACTTTTGTGGGGTTCAGCTCATCTTGGAAATCGTTGCTTGTTGTTTAGTTTTAGAATCATACGCATATATCCAAGGTCATCACCTGTGTAGATATTATGATTGTTATATTTGAATAACAATTATAATATCTATAATATCTAACAGCTTTTGACGCATAAAAAGATAAACAAAGTATAAACAAATGACAGCTACATGAAACAAATTGTATTCTTCACCCAAACAGTTCCATTTTTAAATGTTAAAATTACTTATTTAATATTGTTCTGTAACTGGCTAGTTCCGGATACATAAACAGCAGACCTCGTGCCCGAGACGTTTTTGGTCGGTTCGAGTCCGACATAATCACCCCACCGATGGGTGATATTCGAGGGGTTTGCCGCACAGGAAAAAAAGGGTCTGCCCATGTCAGACATGTCTCTTACACAAGGATTGAGGAGAATTTCCTTTTTTTTTCAACAAGGGTTTCCAAAGTATTGGGGTCCAGCTGACAATAGTCGTTAATTTATTCTCGTTTACTTTAATATATCGAAATGAAGAATTTTGTTTAAATATAAAAAATGTTGATTTGTGAAACAGCAATTCAAGTCCTCTACTACGTATTAGCATATGTGTAATAAATACTAATATTAAGACAACTTCTTTGATAGGCCGCTAAAAACCTACGACGTTGTCTCGACTAAAAATGTGCAAGGCTTGTCACAAAAAGTCCTTGTATTAGACAAAAGCTTGCGTTTGTCTAATATAAGGATCGCAGGTAGCAAGGTAAAAATAGTACTTGCCTAATTTATTTTATTTACATATTTTTATTTTATTAATATATTAATAAAATAAAAATGGTCCCATTCATCCCGTGGGTGTCGTAAGAGCCGACTAAGGGAGCAAACTAAGCAGGACAACAGCACTGCAAAGAGAAGGAAAACTTGAAACAAACCCTATACCAACCCGTCTGGCCAGCGTGGTATAGTAGGCCAAAACCTCCTTTCTAAGGAGAGGCCTATGTCCAGCAGTGGACTAGTATAGGCTGTTGATGTTGATGTGTTGTGAATATATTAATATATTTTAACTATATTTTACATCATCATCATCATCAGCCTATCGCAGTCCACTGCTGGACGGACCAGGAAGTACCTGTTCCATTTAAAATATTGGATAAAATTCAATAAAACAGGTGAAAATTTTACAGTGCAGAATATTTTATTTCGTTTCTTTCGTTCCGTCATATCAGTTGGTGATAATATTGGGCAAGATTTTGGTTAAATTGAATTGTGTCAGCCATGTGATTGGTGCAGCTTTCCATTGCAAATTTCCATCACGATATTAATATCACAACAACAGCCTTTAATAGTCCACTCCGCTCTCCTTCATACCATTTTTTTTTACTTGTGGAAAGGCCCTCGGGCCGTCACCTCACCGGGGTTGCCTCGGCGTTGCTCTTCTAAGTAGCTGAGTTGACTCACTATTAGTATTTATTACACACATAGTAAACTGCCTACCTAAGGCAGTTTAACTACATGTATAATTAACTAAAGTAACGGTTAACCACCCTCACTTACATAAATTGGTATAGATTATAGGGTTGCCTACATTTAAAAAATGATATGCCAAGCCAAATAAAACACGGCTCGATGGTTGATATAATTTATATATAATATTGTATAAGTATAATTATTTTGTATAAAATATTGTATAGGTATAATTTTGTATAAGTATAATTTTCTTTCCTAACTATTTGACAAAACGGAGATTGTTGCTATTGTGTGTTTGTTGATCAATGACTTTAGTAGAGTCTACATAGACAATTTCAAACAATTATTTAAAAAAAATTGAAAGAAAGATAATTTATCAATTTGTCGGTATTTTATTTTTGTATGTTTGTTAGCGATATCTCCGTCAAATGTGAACCGATTTTCAAAATTCTTTTTGTAATCGAAAGGGTATGCTCTCGAGTTAGTCCCATTACCACCAAATCAAGATCTAGAGATTTTACAGCTTAACAACGTGTTTTAGCTTATTTCTCTAGCTTTATAGGTATTTGCGTTTAGAAGTCGTTATGTCATATTGCTGAGCTGATAATGGAAGGATCCTTGACCTTTATTAGTTAGAAAATAACTCTTTCAAAAATCTAATCATGTATTGACCTTGTTTTTTTTTCAAGATATTTATTAGGTGTTTGTGTAGGGTTGCAGAGATATGTGCAGAAGTGAGTAATAAATGAAATAATAATAATTAATCAATCAAATAATTATATAACAACTAATAAATAATTAAAATAATAAATAACGGACAATATTTTGTTCTTTTATACACTATTAAATCAATTTTAAAATTATGAACAAATAAAAGTAAGAATATTGATTATAATTAATAATATAATAATACATGACATGTATAGTTACCATGATTGTATCCTACTACATATATTAATTAGAAACAAAATATTCTACTGTATTTGTGGTTGTGTTATCTTCCTCTCTCCCAAACAAACTGTGCTGCGATTATAAAACATTTATTAAAAAAAAATGTTTGTTACTCAATAATTTTCATGTTTGTTACCTCAAAACTCTTTCATTTGGAAACTGATTTAGAAAATTCTATTTTTATTTGGAAGGGTATATTTCCTTTTTAGTTCTATTCAAATGTGAAGAAAAAATACCACACTTAGTTTTGGAAAATTAAGTAATGTGGAAAACAATATATTTTCGGGTTTAAATGTACCATCTTACTACCTTATCTAAATATGGTAGCGGACTTATTAAACTATATTTAATATAATCTAACATACTACAGTTTGGTACTATACATTACGGTACGAAGTGTTTTAAATATCGTATTTATCTACTCATTAAAAACATATCTTACACTAAAATAGTTAAATAAATCTAATCTTAAAACTACTTAATAAAGCATTCAAAATAATAATATCATTGGAGATGTGTGTAACCTACTTAAGCTCGTTCTGCATGTTTTGCTCAGCATGAAGACTGTTGCTGCCGCGCTACATTCTACCAAGCCCATCAAGCACCTATTTGGCTTGGCACCGACTTCAAACAGGCTAGAAGGGACTATTGCTATTTACTTAGATTTGGATATTTTTTTTAGTGCTCTTTGTCAGTATTGTTTGAAGTCGGTTCAACTTTTTTATTTTTTATTTATGAATTAGAAAATCGATTAACAAAATAGGTTACCTCATCAACTTGCGCCTGTGTCTGTTGCAAGCGGCGCTGGGCCGCGATCTGTTGAGGGGTCTTCGGACCGCCGACGGGCATGTCTCCATCGCCACCAGGCGCCAGTCCGCCTTCCGACGCCCTGGAAAAAAATTGCTCTTGAAGTAATTTTTAACCGACTTCAAAAAGGAGGAGGTTATCAATTCGGATGTTTATATTTTTTTATGTATGTTCGGGCATAACTCTGTCATATGTAGATGGGTTTTCAAAATTCTTTTTAAACGGGGTTTATACCGAAATGGTCCAATTTAAATTTTATATAGATCTGATGATGAGTTTCGGAGACAGACAACGGAGCTCTTAAAAAAATGACAGCAAATCAACCGCGGTTTTGCTGCTAGGTTTTTAGTGCTCTTTGTTAGTATTGTTTGAAGTCGTTTCAACTATTTTTAAAAGGATCTTCTTGTATATGTAGGTAGAATTTTAGCTTAAGAAAAAGAGAAAGTAACTGTATAAACTAAGTAGGCACCCTTGTCATTTTATTGCCATTATTTTATCACACATTCTGATGGGCGTGTACAAGATGAAGCGCGGTACGCAGTAAGCACAATAAAATGAACACACCCACGCCCCAATAAATACGTTCGTGTAAGTATTCTGTAGAAATGAAAAAGGTTTGTTATTATTTATGTATGATTGTGCTTTGTTGTAGATTGAAAATGCCAGTCTAGCAAGGATCTCAAATTTAAAACGGCGATGATGAAGAAAAAGATGTTATGGATTGGCGAGTGACTTATGATGAAAAGGTTATCTAAACTCGGTTCCAAAAATAACGGGTCAGTCACATAAACCCGAATATCTCCCGAACTACGTATGCCATCCTAATGAAACGAAGACTGTTCAATTGAGAAATTAATTATAGAGATAAAAAATAAAATAAAAAGACGTGTGGCACTCGGGAACTGCCGCGGTAAAGCTATTGCATAGCATTTTGTATCAACTTATGCAATTATAATTATTTATTTATTTTATGTATGCAGATTTCTTTTCTTTGATATTAATTCAAGTTACACGTTTTGAGCGTGGTGACCGATAAGAAAACATTTTTTTTTCTTTTATTAAAAAAAATTATTGAAGCATATATTACAATTTGTTTTTAAATAAATAAATAAAAAATATTATTATTAAATCAAATTACATATCCATGTAAGATTTTTCTGCATTATGTTGACGAAATTTCCTTTGACGTTCAGCATTTGATTTTGGTACTGTTTTTTGTTTTGTTTTTAGCGTGAGGTTTTTTTCGTTACGGAATTTCTTGATTCGGTCCCCGCGCTCAAGGCCCTCGATAGAAGCTATGCAATAGCTTAAAACTTAAATCTAAACTCTCTAACTCTTAACTTATCTCTAAATTAAAAAAAAAAACTAAAGTAGTCATATTTTTCTTAAGATTACATTTTTTTATGATTGTTTTTTTGCTGTTTTTCATCACTTTCTTCATTTAATACTTTGTATTGCCTCCACGAGCTCTTCTGACAGCTTCCAGGCGATTAGGCATGCTGTACACCAAATTTCGGAGCCGGTGCCGAGGAATACCTTCCCATTCCTCCACCAGTGCTTGTTTGAGCTCGGGAAGCGTGATTGGTGGGGGGTTTCGACCTTTCACGCATCTCTGAAGCTCGTCCCAGGCGTGCTCGATGGGGTTTAAGTCCGGGCTTCGCGCTGGCCACTGCATGAGTTCGATACCGACCTCTTTAAGGTAGTCATGTACAATTCTGGCGGTATGGGGACGCGCATTATCATGCATTAATATACCATGCCGGTCCATCCTGGCCATGAAAGGACCTACATGTTCATTGAGGATCTCTTCCACGTACCTCTCTGCATTTAGAGTTTCATTTTGAATGAGTACCAGCTCGGTGCGGGCTTCAGTAGAAATCCCAGCCCAAACTTGTACGGAGCCTCCACCGTACGCCACTTTTTCCTCCACACACGCTTGATGGAAGCGCTCCCCTGGTCTTCTGTACACCAACTGCCTACCATCATGCTTATAAAGCATGAATTTAGACTCGTCCGTGAACATTACCCTAGACCAATCGTCTAGTGTCCAGTTTAGGTGCTCGCGCACGTATCTCTGTCTTGCAATTCGATGTCCCCGTTCCAGTTTGGGGCCATTTGCGGGCCTCAATGGTTTCAAATTTGCTTCAGCAAGACGTCTTCTTACTGTTTGAGCGCTTAAATTGCCACCTCCAAAGCGAATAAAGTGAGTTTTTAGACCAACAGCAGTTTCAAAACGATTTCGGAGCATTGTAGCCACCAGTTGTCTGTCTTCCCTGGCCGTTGTGCATCTTGGTCTGCCATTTCCTGGTCTTCTAAGGTGTGATCCGGTCTCTTGGTACCGCTGGACTACCCGCTGAACAGTCGACAAAGATACACCAATGTTTCTGGCTGTTTCACGCTGGCTCCGCCCAAGTTCTAAAAAAGTTAGGATTCTGGTACATTCCTCTAGCGTGACTGCCATGCTTCACCTCACAGAATAATAATTATGCACGTGGAAGACGTTCACGATAATTTTTTTTTTGACAGAATAGAAATGGAAAGCATCCATAATGAAATGAAACAAAAATTTTGTTTTTAAAAATAGTCATTTTTTTAAATTTTGTTTTTCTAATGAAGTTTTTTTTCATCAACCAGTTTAAATAATATGCTATTAGAAGCGCAACTAAAAAGTCTTTATTCTGTTTTTTATTTCATTGATCTAACTTTTACAGTTCTGGAGGTATTTCAATTTTTGTGACTGACCCGTAATTTTTGGAACCGAGTGTATATTTAAGTGACAAAAAGCCGCATGTGGTTTTATTGAACTTAGAATTTCTCCGATAACTTGTTTCTTAAACTTCGTCAACATTCTTTGACAGTGTCAATGATTTTTTACATTTTAAAATAATGCAAAATGGTTTAACGTTTTTTGTTCTGCTGTGTTTATATTTTTTTATATATGCATATATGCGATATATGTCAAATATGGATCGATTTTAAATATTTTTTTGAAGAAAATTGTAAAAACGAAAGAGCTGCTAATTTCTTAAAAAAAAGGTATGTAATTAACATCGCCTTGTTTTCCTTGATGAAATAGGGTAGAAGTTATATCTTGCATCGTCATGCTTAATCTACGCTGTCAGTTCTCATTTTCATTTTTTGAACTCTTTGTACGAATGTTATTTATCTTTATGCATTTAAAAATATATAAGTATGTTTATCAGCAGTCTTTTTACCACATCCCAAACTAGGCAGAGCCTGTACGGCTCTGCCTAGTTTGGGATCAGACGGCTGTGTGTGAAATGTGTGAAAACATTATTACATTAATAGTATAAATTAATTATATAGCTGAAATGTAAAGTACGTTGATATTTGAACATTGAACGTGACCTTTAACTTATACCCACCTCAACCCCCCATTACTCGTAACAACTTCCGTTTGCTTAGTTTGAGGAGTGAACTATAATTAATGTGTGTCCTACACCGTGATCAAAACGACCCACATCACTTGTAATTATTATTATTTAAAGTTTTGGCAACCTTTAGTCAAACACTGTAATCATTTTGATACGAAAATAGCAACATAATGTAACGTCGTACGTTTGAACATATTATTTGTACGGATATTCTCACTATGAGATGTAATACACACAAGAAAAATTAAGCGCCGGTATGAAAACAAAAATTCCATTCGATACTCGTTTACAATAGTCGTTTACAATAGTCGTTTAACATTGTCAGATATCTACTAAAGTGTAGGTAACCAAGTTTTAGAAGTAGTGGAGAGGCGTTATATGAAAATGGCAAGACGGTGAAGTTATTGGTAGACAAAATAATGTCTATATAATTAGTATTTTATTGTTGTACTTCATTGTTATGAAAATTCATATTCTGCCAACACATTAAATTTAAAAGCCACTCACCACACTTGAAGCATAATTTTTGAATTTTTGACAACCAAAAGATACCTATTACGAGTTGATTGACATAGTTGAAAAATTACATAATAGATTGACAAATTACCATAAACCATAGAAGTCTTGTTTAAAAACTATACAAAATTCACCAACGACTCTTTACACATTTCCTTTTTAAAGTTGCTACTAAAATACGTTCACTGGTAAAAAATCGATGTGATGACGTCAGTCACACCGTAAATATTTAGGAGCACTATACAAGTAACAAGTAATCTAGTCAAACATATAATAGTAACATTAGTGAGACGTGCTAGATAAATTGTTTACAGTTAAAGCCTTGGCTCTAAAACATCTGCGTTTAACTGCCAATCTTTCGAAACACAGGTAGTTAATAACGGGTATAAAAGTGACTTATTCAGGGAACTGGAAAGCACTGATTTAGCGAGAATCAGGTCATGAACCTTCCGATTGAAGGACTACTCAAATTAAGTGCCAATACTTGAATGCTATCGTTCCGTGCTAGGGTTGTGCGGTACCGTCAATATAATATCATATAATTACGTAATATATAATAATAGTTTTGTAATATTTTTACATTTGAAAGTTTATGTTCTTAAATTGTGTGTGTTTTCATAGGTGTGAATACAAATTACTAACACAATGGTTACTAATCAATCAACAAATATACTTCTTTACTATGTAATTCATATTTCTATCATGCTTGTTAAATCATCATCATCATCGACAGTCTTTAATAGTCCACTGCTGAACATAGGACTCGCCTATTAAGGAGGTTTTGGCCATCTATACCTCGCTGGCCAGACGGGTTAGTACAGGGTTTATGTTAAGTTTCTTTCTCTTTGCAGTGCTATTGTTCTGGGTAGTTTTCTAGTTGGCTCTTACGACACCGACGGGATGAATAGGGTTGGTCAAACTCCGTATTTTTAACCCGTCACCACGATGTTTAAATGTTAAGCCCTATCAAAATCTTAGGCAGATTATATTCCGATTACTACTCGTATTAATATTTTATAATTACAATTTGCAGTTACATTTTAGTAAAGAGAAACAAGTTTAATTTCAAACCTTTAGCATAAAAAAATAATGTGACATAAGATAAAAACATCTCCGACTTCAAATCTAATTACGTATTGAGTTTCGCAGATTTATGAAGCAGCGGTATCCTAGTGGTTAAGGCATTAGACTTGCGATCAAGAGGTCGTGGGTTCGAATCCTGACATGAACCAACTCCTGACACAAGCAATTTAGGTTAGCGGGAGGGATTAACGGGAATACTCGTAATTTCGGTTGCTAGTAGACCTTTAAAAAAAAAATGAAAAGCCCACTCATAGTTACTTGGTTAGGAATTAAAGTGGTGTGCTAATATTTACTTCTTTTACATATCTTTATATTTCTTAGCGGCCTTATCCTATACAAAAGTTGTTATGCAATACAACTTAAATATTAGCTTCTGAAAAGATACGTAAAGTTGTACAATCTCACAACAGATGTCACAGTGGTTAACGGTAATAAAAAGTTAAGCATAACCAAGTTAAAAGTTAAAAAGTAATTGTAATAAAAAGTTAACCATGACCAAGTTGAAAGTTAAAAAGTAACTATAGTAAAAACTTAACCATAACCAAGTTAAAAAGTAACTACAATAAAAAGTTAACCATAGTTACAGGTGATTAAGATACAAATTATAGACAAGGTGCAATCTCAGAAAAACTTTTCTTTGTGCATGTTATTGTAAGCAGTTTGTTTTGTTTATTGTTGTGAGGTTGTACAACTTCACGTGACTTTCCAGCTAATATTTAAGTTGTATGGCATTATAACTTTTGCTCTTTGGAATTAATTTAATCAAGTACGCCATAATTCAAGCCTAATTACTATTTAAAAGAATTTGTTAAGTAGGTTGTATTGTTTAATTATTACCGGTAAATTAATTTTGATTTACTCTTGTCGCCCATTCTTAAGTTATGGCATTATTAGGTAATGTTTTAGGTTAAAATTTAGTTGTTTTCCTAGTTACTGTTTTCTTTCGTGTTAGGTTTTACTAGCGTCTCCCATTACGATAATTTCGATTTTGTCAACTAATTTATCCTTAATAAAAGGCAGCCTGTGAGCCTTTCCAGTTCCATACAGGCGTTTATAACAGTAATTAGTTTCACCTTAAACTTACTTATTTGATTGTGATATCGTGGAGTATATGTAGGTATATGTGTGTAAGTGTATGAATTTGTATTCGTGTAATTATTATTTGTATTTGTAATTATGTAAAATTAGTTTATATACGTAAATTTTAAATGCGCATCACAAGCTACATTTTACCATATGGTATGGTCTATCTAAAGGTTGCCTGGAAGAGATCGCAGACTGCAATAAGGCCACTAAGGCTATAGGAATCTTGGAACATTAGTAAAGATACCTACTGTTCCAATTATCTACTAAAGTGAAATACCTGTACTTAGTTATATTTCTGAATTAAAACTCTTTGAAAACCACAGCGTTACGGTCCGGGCCTGTCATGACGTCAAAGAAACATGTCGTTGGCAGCCCTACATTTGATTTATTTCATCGAATTTATATGGATCCACCATCCAGGCCTTCGTTATTCGAGTATTTACTTTGTGCTTAATAGGTTCAGAGGGAAGTTGAGATTGAAATCGAATATCCGTTGTAATTTCACTTCAGTAAATTCATTTGAATAATAAAACACCGGTTTCAGGTAGATGTAGTTAGTTACATATGGTTTATTCTACACCAGGGAGAAATCTAATGTACTATAAATTATAATAGGGGTTAAAGTATGAAATCGCCGTTGTATAGTAATAGATACTTTGAATTAATATAAAATCTTCATGGTGTGAGATTTTCGTTTGAAACTTTTTTCGCATGATACTTATGTTCTTCTTTAAAAAAATATGCAACATTCGATTTTCGACTTTCAACTGTTTTGTTTTATTCAGCTTAGACTTGAAAGATGGATAATTCAAAAATCCGAGTCATTTTTGAATACGAATGCCGACGTGAAACTAACGCGGCATAAAGGGCTTGCAATATCGAACCACGTGGAAGACCGCCCTTCGACCACAGGTGAATAACACTGAATTGAAAGAGATGGTGGAAGCCGATCAGAGTTATACTACCGAGGAATTAGCGGCATGGTTTAACGTTACCCTACCTAAAATATTGTCTCATTTGCATCAAATCAATAAGATAAAAAATATGAAAAAATGGGTGACTCACGATTTGACTGATCTGCTGAAAGAAATGCCTGTTGAAACTTGAGACAAAATGAAGGTAATATACCTTCATTTCTGTACCGATCTAATTGTGAAATGTGACGAAAAGTGGATGGAAAAATCTAGATCTAGAATTTTATTTGTGTAAATTATATGCATGTATGTATGAAACTCAGCAAGTATATGTGTATGTGTATTTCAGTATGTATTTATGTATACCTGTCCCACTGTTTCTGTTCATCTCCTCAATTAAGTATATTTATTATCTTTAAAAAACAAAACTTAATTTCTAGTGCACCTACTCAGACATTTCCCCGCCACCCAAAGGTTGACTTTGAGAAAATGCCTGTGGCATTAACTCCGCCATTGTACAAGTGAGTTGTAATTTGTGCATTAAGAATTAATTTTAAAAAAACCCCACAGAATAAAATTTGAATGTGCAATATTTACTGTAATTTTTTAAATAAATATAAAAAAAGTTTTTACTATCGCTTATATATATTTTCTTTTTTTCATCCAATTATTTATGGATTAGTCAAAACATAGCAATCGTACAATTGGGAAAATGTACTTCTTTGAACACTGTCTCTATCCAAAATTATTTAAAGCTTTTACTTAGGGTTCGGTTACGATCAAAGAGATTCATAACAACTCTGATATACGAGTACAATCGCTTTGCTAGCTTCTTATCCCACTGCTATTATGAAAGTAAAAGTTTGTTTGATTATTTCTTCTCGTTAAGGTAAAAGCTGCTGAAGATGTTTTGATAAAACTTAATAGTAATAAGGTAATAGACTAGAAATTAATCGGTACAAGTATGAAAATATTTTTCTTTTTCTTTCCATAAAAGTTATAAAAAGATTCCTTATGCAAATGTGAGTTTGTTTTGCTATGCATTCACGCCATGATTTGTGATACGATAACTATGAAATATTCCATAGAGATTATATCCATGGGATAAATTGATAGACAAAACTTAGATTATGTTAGCGAAGCTGCTGTCAAACCTAGGAAGAATTGTAAATGTTCGAGCCATATTACTTACGTAGTAACTATGTATGTTTGAAATACTGCCTTTATATTACGAACAATGTAGTAAACCATCGATAAGCTGTTTTATAATAAAGCTGCTACTTTGTTATACTAAATTAAAATATGTATGAGAATTCACGATGTGGATTTAATGAAAAGCTTTAGAGCAAGAGGTTTAATTTTAGAGTAATTTTATCTTGAATAGCCGCAGTAATGCTGTGATAATTGGGTGAAAATAATATTATACCAGATATTTTTCTAAGGCGCAATACCACTGGTTTGAGATCAAAAGTGTTTAATGTATTTGTATTTAAAGGATGACTAGTAAGAGATCTTTTTTAATTAAGATATTATACACTTTGACAAAAAAAAACACCCATCAAAAATGAACTGTACTCGATTCTGTATTTATTCTGTAAATCCTGACAATTCTTGTCAGGATTTACAAAAGATAAATACAGAATCGAGTTTTGGCAATCAGATTTTGGCACTGCGAGAACGCAGTGCCAAAATGTACATGCTTGTTAGTCGCTATGTAGGTGGTATTAAGATCATAATACGAATATATAATTTATCGTCTATAATAAATACCCATATATAACCTGTGAGTTCACTTCATTTAGCCTGTAGCGCTAGATTTTTAAATGTTGTGTTGTGTTATTTTTATCCGATAGTTTATAATGTTGGTCTATTTTCCACTAGCGAACAGGGTCACAAGAAATTTATTATTATTTATATATATA